TAGAGAAAATAGATAAAGGCAGCTCACAGAATGTTACCGGAATGGGCCAAAAGAAACACGCATAATGAAAACGACTGACTATGTAACACCATGCAACCATCCTTACTGGAAAAAGTTTATCCCTGAGGTAAAAACCTTAATAAAAATATCTACCAGATGGGGAGTAAAGACCAAAGAAGAATCGTATATATAGCAGCAAAAAGAGTAGCCAAGATTGAGGTTTATAAGATTGTCACAAAGGGATAACAACTTTATTGTCTGGAAAAACAAAACGCTGAAATAAAAATACGTAATAATGATATAAAAGCACGATGATAAAGCTTAGTGTGTTTACAAACAAACCAGCAATATCAGATAAAAATGAAAATAATAACCGATCGCTAAGAGTATGATCCCCAATTGAACAGAAATAATCGAACCTAGCAGTACCCAAGTGATAATTATGAAAAAATAAAAAAATAATGATGATAATACAATTTAATTACCACAGATACACACACACACTCTAAACACAGACCACAAAAGAAACAAAAAAGACAACCGAACGACTCTACAATGCCTACATATTAAATGTTCCCATAGTAAGGCAAGGTCCAATTCATAATCCATAAGCAAAAGATCCTCAGGAAGACCAAGAAAGAACCCGAAACCAACCGAAGTGCACTAAGTAAAAACACTACGAATATAGAGAATACTGACAAACAAGGACGAAAAAAAAGCAACAGACAAGAAACACTTCTAAAGAGTCCAAGTTCGGGTACTTAAACAGCAATATTGCACTCAACAAAAAGAAAAAAAAAAAAAAAAAAGGCGAAAAAATGCGAACGATAATTACAAATAACAAAGGACGTTTCAGACAGCTTTCACATGTTTTTTGAAGTTTGGTGGCTAGATCAGCACTAGCCAGGGGTGGGGGAGGTAAGAAAAAACAAGATGAGGGACGAAAAAAGGTGTAAAAGGGTGGGTTTAGACCACGGCATTTAGCCAACCAAAACCATCAAAAGAATTGAGATATCGCCCGAGACCGACCATATCGAAATAAAAACAGAATCGTAAGGAAACATCAGACCAGACAAAAAAAACAAAAAACATAAATATTAAAAATGGAAGAAAAAAAGGATGGACGGGCAAGCGGGGCAAGCTTAACAGACCCCCAAAGCCCAAAAACCACGTACCAATAGCATTCACAGTGACTACTCGGAACGCATGCGCAGTTAGACAAGATATTATGAAAAATCTAGGTTAGTTAGCAAATTAATATCTTCAATGTTGCAGGCGCATGTCCGCACCCACCATCTTCTGATGCACAAAGACAGGTTGGCATCCTTAATCACAGTTTAAGCAACCACACACCGCTTTTGGGTATTGCCATATAGCGGGAGATTTGATTAAGTACCTCAACCACCTGAACTAAAGCTCAGTCGCATGTTCATAATAACATAATATATCATCAAAGCTTTTCAAATGTACGTGTTCAGTGAAGCTTTTGCAGACACACACCTTTAGTATAATATACTACTGCATCAAATTTTAGGTGCTGTTGGTTTTGCGACTGTTCTGAGACTTGCTCAGAAAGCGAAGAGCCTGTGAAACCGTAATAAAGAGCCATCCTACGCAGGCTGTAAAGTAGTTAGTGACAACCAGACACCGTATATGTACATGTACTCGGAGATTAGTGCAGACCACCATGACCAGGGCTTGTCCAGGCCCCGACAGGTAACGCAGTTACTGGACATGATCACAGGGCGTTTGTGAAGGAAATGCTGCTGTGCTTAGTATAAACTGTTTGAAGTTTATTTGTACGCACATCTCCAGTTCTAAACACGATTATGTTCGTTTACACAAGTAACCTGAAGCAAAGATCGAGATGGTAATTGAACTGGGCGAGCTGCCCCCTTACCTGCGCTGCATTGAAGAACACCCACTCTTCTCCACACACTAGGGAATTGAATGAACTGTGGAATCCTGTACGTGTGTGTTGGGTGTGAGGAGCATCAAAGAAAAAATATATAGGATCAAACGATTTACATACATAGTACTTATATAACCACAGTGCACTTATGTAGTAGCCTAGTTGATTAATGAAGATTAGAGGGGTGGCCCCTTTCCTCTTCATTGCATATCAATGAATGGGATTTGGTCATAGCTATAATTATACATGTAGGGCATACTGTATGTACCTACAACCAATCAGTGTATAGAACATATCGTATCTTTGCCATACATAGCTAGAGCATAATATATGTGTGTACTTACTTAGCCAGTGAGTCTACTGCTAGAGCTAGAGCTTATCAATGTACGTATGCTACTGCTAGAGCTAGAGCATATCAATGTACGTATGCTACTGCTAGAGCTAGAGCTTATCAATGTACGTATGCTACTGCTAGAGCTAGAGCTTATCAATGTACGTATGCTACTGCTAGAGCTAGGGCATAGCGTACTTACTGCCAGTGAATATGCTGCCATAGCGGTAGACTCTCCCCAGTAGAGCTGCACACACTATCAGTCTATTGGAGTCAGTGAAACTGAGGAAAAAGAGGACCAGTTTTACTGTACCATAATGTACAATGACTGGACACATGCACACACACACACTGGGCATTAATCGCAGCAACGTCAATCAAACAGTGATCAGTGCTGTTAATTCAAGGGGGGAACCCTAACTTTTATCGTCAAGGGCACTCTAAAGCTTGCATTATGCCATGTGAGCAATGCTTTTCGATCCAAATGGGGAAACGCTACTCAGTAGCTACATTATGATCAGGATTGGCAAGGCCAGTCTATATATAGCAAGTATATATGTTCAGTGATGTATGAAGAGAGAGACCTGAGACTGAAGGCAGGAGAGGGAGAGAGGTAGATGCCCACACCTAGGGACGAGCCACAGCGAACCTTGACACTATTTCCAGAGCCCGGAATCACCAGACCTCTCTCAACTGAGGAAGCATGGAACAAACAACCGTTCAGGTGGAGGTAGAACAGACACCCCTATCTCATGTACTGTACTGTTGGCTCTGCCCACTGCTCTGGGTGCATTGTGCCCCTATAGTGCCACGAAAAATACGTATGCAATACAAGCAGCATCTTACTGAGTACATAAATGTACGTGAGCTGGTGGAATGTGCCGTTTGAATATGGGGGCCTAGAGTTCATTTTACTGAGAGTCTCAATGACAGTGGCACAAACCAATGGAGGCCAGAAACTGTATATACTAGTGCTGTATGCACGCACCAATGGAGGGGAGGCTCCTGGTGAGAGTTCCGTGGAAGGCAACGTGGGTCTGCACGTCGTACATGTGCGGGTTCTTCCTCTCGCTGTCGGCAAGTACAGAGGTCATGGTTTCTCGGCAGCGGTGGAACCTCCTGGCCAGGTCCTGTCGCAAGATGTTCTCTATCTGCAGTGAGACACATACGTACGACACACCCACTCAATATTGTACATGTGCTGCATGCAACTCCATGTACAAATAAGGCAACGAAGTTTACTTCGAACATAAACCAGTAAAATGACCTTCCATACTCTACAAAGCAAAAAGAGGTTTGATTGAGGTACGTATGTACATTAATCGTGTACTGAATAAGAGTGAAAGTGTCCTTTATTCAGACATGTCAGTAAGCTAGTGTGTTAGTATGAGGCGAAAACCAAGTGTCCTTTACAGAGAGGTGTCTTTCATTTCAGAGGGTCTTTTTTCAGAGCTATCACAGTGTATTTGCCCCTCTCACTCTATGTATCTGGAAACCATCGGGGAACTTGCTGAGAATATTGGAGATGGACCCCACGAAATGAGCTGGCCCAAAAGTGACGTCATCCCTCATGGCTCCACCACCACTGGGCAACCTACCAGCACCCATCTCGTCCTCCTCCTCCTCTCTCTCGGTCTTTTCTGCTGACTGGTCCTCAGGCAGCAGAACGTCCCATATCTGAATAAACATGCAAACATCACAACTGCTGATTAAGGCTAGGTTCACAATACACAATCGAATTGCCCTGTCGCACCATGCCACATTGCTACGTATGTTGCGAGGATAAATCCATTTATACTACCTTCGTAGAACGACGTGATGCGGTACGTGTGTGTGTAGGAGTAACCCAACGTACTGTGAACCTCCTCCATTCCCACATCCAATGTACCGACCTCGCCTGGTACGCCAGTTTTCTTGTTCCTTGTCTCTAGTGCCTCTTCCAGTTGAAGTCTCCCCATTCTTTCTCTCTCCTCCTTCTCCCTCCTCTTCCCGACCTCTCTCTTGGTCTCTATCAGTCCTGGTGTATACAGGTTAACTCATCAGTGGAACTGCAACACTCTAAATAAAGGACACCTCTCTACAAAGGAGATTAATTTCAATCTGGCGCTAAAACTTTGTGTGGACGCATCTCCCATATAAAGGACATTTGTTTCAATCTTGTGTATATGTACTATAGTGTAATAGTACACATATGTAGCCCATGAAAAAGAGGACACCCTTCAATGGTGTTGTGGTACATCACAGCATGTTCAAATGCTGCACGTAACTGCATGAAGTGAAAGTAGCAGTATGCAAGGCTAGGTTCACAATACGTCGCATTGCCTCATTGTGCCGTGCCGTGTTGCCACGCCTCGAGGATAGAATCCTTCGCGGCAGGACGTGATGTAGCACGGCGCGACGAGGGCAATGCGACATAATACTGTGAACCTAGCCTAAGGGCTAAATTCAGAAACTGTTGCTGAAAATGGAAACCTAATTGCATTCTTGCACTGGGCCCCATTGTTTAGTTCTATCTTTTGAAACACTTCTAAATTTAGCCCTTATGTACTGACACATTCCCTTTTAAGGAAGTGATGAATGCGATGGCTTATAGTCTAGGGGTGAGGTAACTATATAATATACCTGGCATGTAGTCCTGAGCAATTGAGACAAGATCAAATAGTCATTATATTGCCCACTCTACTGACTGACTCCCTCATCAAAAGGTCAAAGAGGTCATCAGCGTCTCTGTAGTTGAATGATCCGGAGGTGTTAGTCTCGATCTCAAACACAGGAGGAACGCTGGGGTAGGAGGCTGGGAGACTGGGGGAGAGGGAAGGAGGGGGAGGATGGGGAAGAGGGGAGGAGGGGGAGGGTGGGAGAATGGGGGAGGGGGAGGGTGGAAGAATGGGGAAGAGGGGGAGGAAAGACAATACGTACATCACACTACCCTGCAGTGACACATGATGCGAAGGGTGCGCAACATGTACGATACAACTTGCATCACGTTTGGCCCTCTGCAACGTATCACACAACGTCGCAGGGAATAGAGATTTTCTGCACCGTGCATGCGGCTGCGCCAGATCACGTCACATCACGGGCTCCCCCAAGTGATGTATTGTGAATCGGGTTTTAGGGTGGACAAACTTGTAGGATGGAGGAGCACACGGGAGGGTGAGAGGAAAAGGAAGAAGGCGAATAAAGTGCAAGAATATAAGGGCAGCAAGAATGGGAGAGCTCCTGTAATCTCACGAAACAAATACGTTTTCAATGAATATAGAACTATGAGGCCATGGGAGAGTGGTAATAGACGAATACAAATGGGGGGTGTATGTGACAAAATAGAGAATGGGAAGTAAAGAGTGGGAAGTAAATAGTGGGAAGTAAATAGTGGGAAGTAAGATGGGAACATGTGGGGAAGAAATATGGGATGAGAAGGATGAAGTCAGATCTGGAATCCAGCTAAGAACAAAGAGCCGGCGAAACTATGTGAGAAACCGGAGATGATTAACATCAGAGGAGGGGAAACAGTGGTACATAGATGTGGTGAGGATGTAACGGAACCCTGATGAATTGACACAAAAACACTTTTAACTCGGAACAAAACCACTCAATTCCTCAACATGATTAAATTATTGTCATACCTGAACCAAATCTTGATGACATCGTCGTCTTGAACCACGTCCTGTGACAGGAATCGCACGTTTACCGAGAAACAGGTCCCCTGGTCATTGAGTGTCCTCAGATCACTGCCATATATGGCAGTCAGGGTTTCCACCTCCTCTGTTTGGAGGGCGTGGCACTCTAGGGGTGAAAGGTCAACGGAAGGAGGCGGAGTTCTGAGTTTGTTCTGTTGGATGTAGGAACACAACTAATAATATACGCGGCCATATACACATGAACTACTAATACCAACATTGTAATAATATAGAGCTTGGCAAATTTTGGGGGCGGAAGTTTCATGGAAACATCTACGTATTGTTTTACGCAAAGCTTAATACAGTATAGTGCAATGCAAATCTGCATTTTCAGTGGGAAGCCTTTGATGCATTAACATTATAGCTAATGCTCTAATGGCTTGATGTATGTATTGTGTGTGTGGCGATGTCGTGAAACATAGACACTCAAGGATACAGTTTCCTTAGCCAGACGACCAAGGACAGGCATATGCATACTGTAGCGTGTGAGGTAAATATAGAGAGACCCAAAGCCTCCCAGTGCCAGTGGATCTGGAGCCATGGTACCAGGGGGTCCAAGAGGTGCTCCATTTCTCTGGTCAAAGACAGCAGACTCTGACTGTCTTCAGCAGCCACTTCAAACGGCAACACCATTCCTATTTCCTTCCCTTCCCCTTCCCTCAACTCTCTGCTACTATAAACCTCCACCATAACGCTCTATCTGCCTGCTAAAGAAGACCAAATCCACTGCTGCAAAGTAAATATTTCTAAATAGAGCGCACGTCAACAACGCGATATTTGCCGACTCAGCAAAAGTGGCGCTCGGCGGACGGGGGGAGAGAGAGCGAAGGATCAGAGACGGCTAGAGAAATGTCTAAACGCTCTAAAAAGGGGTTCAGGAAGCTGGAGAACCATGAGCTGTCCGAGTTTACGACACTCGGCGGCGAGGAGAGCGGCAGCGACTCGGAGATGATAGAGATAGAACGAGAAGACAATATTTCACGCAAGGACGGAGGGTGAGGGAAAAGGCACTGTCCTGTCACACCGGACAGTGACACACTCCTGACATTGATTAAAAAATCATAGAAGACGAAAACCCATTCACAATGGTAGTATCTCTTCATACATACACCTGCTGCAGACTGTGGGATTGAGACTTATATATGTAATTATAGAGACTCCAACTGTAAGCCTTTCCCTGACAAAGGGATTGTGTTGCTAGCCATCACAACCAAGCAGTGAATACCGTGCCAAGTCCATAAAACAACCCCTGTCCAGTGTAAAGAGGGGACAAAGAAACAAGAGTTGAGTGTATGTGTAGATTTGCCATACACCACCTTAGCAACCTTGAAGCCTTGTAACCACACACAAGCAAGTGTGTGTGTATACCGCATTCTCTGGCCATGAGGATTGCGTGCTATGCACTCCGTGGTCACCTTCCATGACCAAGGCAGTATAACATAGAGTACCATGCTGTGGATTGTGTCACACCCTAAACGCTGTGATCCCGCCATGCACAGACAAAATATACCCAATCACCATATTTTCCAAAGTGTAAGTCACTCCTTATGTCTCCTCCTGAGGGTCATGGATTGTCTTATGGCACACGTGTTTGCAATACTGACCTATGTACATAGGGGTGCATTTAATTTAACACATGCGTAGGTTTTCATTGCTACCTCGTATTAAAGCTGGAAGACACACTTTTGTATCTGGGGGTTGTACCTCAGCATAGTGCACTGGACATGCAGCCACGATGCCTCAGTTTGACTCGTGGCAAAAGTTGGTTCTTTCTCTCTCTCTTCCCCCTGACCTGTGTAGTGTACTTCCAACATGCTTCAGAATGTGTGGGTATGCAAAGAGGCTTCCTCGCACTAGTATTGCCAGCTTACTTACTGCACACTTGGTTACTGGTCGGATTCACAAAGTATGCATTGGGAGTGGTGTGCACCATATCACGCAACTTGGAGTGCGTTTGTATTTGTTTGCCTTTGCCTAGCAACTATTCCTACTGTATTAGCCAATAACAAGAAGGTTGAATTCATGGCCCTGGTAGGAGGGAATTCTTCAGTAAATGAATCAAAATAGCCATAATTATTATTAACGGATGCCTGGTACAGTTTGTTGGTTTATGTTTACAAACAAATGGTATGGTGATATATAACAGCGGTGAAATCACTTCGAACGAATAGTTGTGTATGCATACCCACTAAACACTCAAATATGGATAAGGGCTGACTTATTGACCATGTAGTTAGATTCAATTCACACTGATCCTTCGCTCAGAATTGTACTACTTTTTTTGGCTTGGCATACATATTGTAGGTCAAAATTTCCCAGGGCACCAGACTGTATAAAACTCTAGTGATTTTCCAAACCCAAAGCAATGGCGGTGTAGACAGTGATTTCAAGCAGTGGAGAGAGCAAATTATCGTATGGTATATATTCCGTGAGGTATTAAGGACAGTAGTGTCACAGTGTGCAGCATGCAGGAACATCATGTAGAGCAGTTCAAACATCATACTCTATGGACTTTCTGCTCACCAAAAAACATTCTATTTTTGCCAGAGCATTCCCTTATGCTATGCATATTTACTCCATAAAGGGCCCTAATGTTCTGTAGGTGAGTATGATATGTCGCAGCAGTCTTTGGCTCCATATCCTCACCACCCTATTCCCCGTAGATTGTGTTGCTGTTGCCTGGCCCTCTATGTCATCCTACTGACCTGCGTGGTGGTCCTACTGACAATGACTGGCGTCTACTTTGGCTACAACATGATGAGCATCTCCAGCAACTTTCGCACGAGGATCGCCAGCCTCGAGGACAGAGTCGACCACCTGGAGAAGAGTGAGTCACCTGTAATGGTAGCCTTGTTTCCAGACCCCTGTGTGAATGAGGTCATTATCATACTTGTTTCGAGGTGATGATGTCATAGGTCACATTCCGTGAAACTGAGAAGCTATACATACTTCAGACCTACCAATATAGCAGGTTTTAACTTTCACTTCCAAATCAGATTTTCGATGCCTATTTGCTCTCGCACGCATAAGAGCTTTTTGTGGGGTTAAATGTTTGTTCTCAGAAACCCTGTGGTATGTCAAACATCTACAGTATGTGGTTTGACCTTCTTAGTGGGACAAGACTAGGTTAGGAGAGACAGATGGTGGAAGTAGCTTGCCCGGAGTCGTATTTTTCAAAACCCAGCCCTACGCTGTCGTTCAGAACCGTGGGACGGGGATGGCCTAGGAAACTATTGCCATTTATGGCAATGATTACTGCTGCACAGATAATGTATCAGTATCGAAACTGCCGTTCTACCTGTACCTGCCACTACAACTTTGCACGGATGATTGATAGATTTCTAGTTCATTATCAATACCGTTTGCTGCATAGGCGGATCAGTATGGGCACTGACACCTGCTTTACAATACAACATATATACAAAACAGCACTGCTAGAGAATTCCCCATCTAGTGCCGTTTAATCATGTTAGTACAACATCCACACCTTGTCATAATTACATGGATAGTTTGTACACCCAGAGCACATCAGGTATGCTGGTTCACTCTGAAACTTTGCTCATAATATATCACGCATTCGGGGGGGGGGAGATAAACAAATAAAAAATATATAAGATTCTGTTCACTAGGGGGATCAATTTCTCACCAAGAGGATCAGTTTTTCACACAATGAGATAGTTCTTTAGTACACCGCAGAGTGAGATGGTACCTACTCTACCTGCTGTAGGTGTGATTCTAGTCTGGCCTTCCCCTATATACCACATCTCCCGTTACTTCTCTCACACTGTACATCTCACAACATCCCCTCCCAATAACTGATTCCAGTAAACCTTGAGCTAATGTAGTTCCGGATGTAGAGCTGTGTGGTCAGGGACTGTGAACTGCTGTAGAGGTATTAATTGTGATTTTATTATTCGACATTGATTCATTTCGTAGCTATGACATTTTATTCCCACGTGATGTTCTGCAGTTAACAACTCTCCTTCTCTTCCCCCCTCCCTCCTTCTTCCTGCACACCTCTACTGTCTTACTCTTACCTTATTCATTTCTTCTGTCCGTCTCCTCCTCCTCCTCCTCCTCTCATCATCACCAGGTCTTTCCTCGGCAGGGGACACATCTGAGACCCTCATGAGCCAGATGACTCAGAGAATAACTAACGTCAATAACTCTCTGGTGGGGCTAACTGGAGCTCTGCACACCCACTCTGGCACAGTCCACGACCAGCTGAAGACGGTGGAGGGGAATGTGGAAGATCTGCAAGAGAAGATGAATGCCTTTGAAAGCCATCCTCCAACCATAGGGGAGGTGAGGGGGAAAACTTCCTGATAGTTTTAACCAGTGAGTGTGAGTGGAGGCAATATTTATGAGTGGGAGAGAGGGGCGATAAGGAGAAGAGGGAGGAGGAGGGTAAGAAGTGATTACAGTGTCTAGCTGCATTTTTGAGGGGTGGGAATTGCGGCAATTTCTCATCGTTACATAATTACTTCAACAGGAAATGGATCGTTATCATTCCATGCTAATTGGGTTCTAAATCCAGCCAAATATAGCTGTGCATTCCACATAATACAACTTCCTTAGCAACGACCATGGGGGGCTCAGGAATGTTAATCGTTATTACACACTCATCCCAGATTCGTAAGGCAGCTTCGTAAGGTAGTTCTCCCCTTGAGCCCCAAGTCCCAACTGGTCCGGAAGTTTATCGGAATATAATATGGCAATCAGTTGTTATGTCATCCATGTTACAGTGTCATGTTTGCGTGAACAAACTGTTTTGTCTGAGAGACTGTGTGTGGTATGATCACATTAGCCCTGGGAGGTGACGTTGGTGGGAAACAACAACAGTGCCTGTGTGTGTGTGTTGGTTTGGGGAAGACCACTGACCTGTTGTTGTTTCTGGGTGGCGGTAGCAATACAAATGTGATTTAACAACACTTTGGAAGTATTCCTCTGCGCATACTGTTGCTAACCATGTGAGATATTTTCCTCCCAATTAAGCAGATGAACAAACGACACTAACTTGTCAGCACACCTATTTGTAGCAGGACTAATTGCCTTATTTATTCGAGTTTTAGTTCAGAAATATTACACTGTGCTTCTAGGCGCACTATGTTCCAAGGGGAACTATGATTGACATACCGGCTCACTTCACTACATATACACGTTGTATTCCATGATGGCTGGAACAATGCCGCATTTCTTCAGGTGCTCTCCCCCATCCCTATGTTGCCCACTGTTCCCTTTCCCGGAACTCTACCTCTCCCACTATGTATAGTTATACATAATTGTATTGGACCTTATAGTGTAGGGAAATGCATAATATGTAGTGTACAAGTGTAATAATATTATACAGGCGTGAGTGAAAATTACTCCTGTGGTGTTGTTCTGTGTGTCGGTCCACAGGATTTTGTCTGGAGCCAGCCACCAGCTCACATTTCATTGGGGGGAATATACAGCTTGGGGGGACACCCCTCCCCTAATTGATTACCAGACATCCATATTATGCTCACATGTAGTACTAACGTGCACGCGCTACAGAGCGTTGTGTTTACATGCGTTTGTAAACGATCTGAAATGAACACCAAACATCGTTGCTAAAGACCATACAGTACGTGATGTCCCAACTATCGCAGGTTTATTAGAGTATATTCTGGTTACCTGCTATTGTCCTTTTTTCACTTGATGAGAACTACTTACTAATCAAGATACCGGCATTTCTCTTGTATATTAATAAACCTGCAAAAAACTGTATTCACTGCCAGTATTTCGGTTTAGAAGTGTGAACTTGTTAGCGTTGTATCTATGTACAGTAAAAGTTGTATTATTACACTTATTTTGGTTTCTTGCCAGGACGAAGTGCAGAAAATGAGGGAAAGCATGGCTGAATTCCGTGGCCACCTCGAGAACTATGACTCACAGCTGAATGACGTGACAAAGAAGGCGGGAGACGCCATCCTCGATGTGACCAAGATTGGAGAGAGAGTGACGCTGTTTGATAGGAACCTCACCAGTCTGAGGGGAGGCCTGGACAGCTTGCAGAGAGAGCAAACAGAGGCTGACACCTACTTGGATCTTCTGGCTCAGGTCAGTCTGCACTCCCATCCCTGTCTTTGTATACATGGTCCAACGCACCCGTGTGTCCACTGTACAGTGAGGGCCTTCAGGCTTTGGGCTGTACTCTTACCCTGTCTTTTTTACTCTACCCGTTTAATACATACATAGCCACATTGTGTAATACATAGCCAAATGCAATGTGTGTCCACTTCAGGCTTTAGTCAGTACTAGTAGGCGAATGCATGGCAAGCGCAGTAGACAAATGCAATGTGTGTCCACTTCAGGCTTTAGTCAGTACTAGTAGGCGAATGCATGGCAGTAGCCAAATGCAATGTGTGTCCACTTCAGGCTTTAGTCAGTATAATACACCCCAGTCCAATGCACCCTTGTGTCAACTGGTACAGAAGCATCAGGAGGTGCTTCGGTAGGCCTCTTGCATATGTATGACTATGAATGTACATATACAGCGAGGACCTTCAGTATGTACATGTATGTAGGCTCTCTTGCCAATACTATACACACAGCCTGTAGACCTCTTACGTACTAGCAGGCAACTGTGTTGGTTGTGGCTTCATTCAGAGGAATACTAAAGATCTGCAGTGAAGCCCTGCCAAAGGTCACGGTCACTTTTGAAAATCCCGCACACCTACACACATAACTGCACTTCATTTCCCTTTCTTGTTGCCTTACTGTGTAGACACCGCATCTCATATCCTTGCAGCAAGTCTCAGCTCTTAAGATTGCAGTGATGGGAATCAACCAAACTCTGCTTCAGGAACTCAATACAACCAGAGACTCTATCAACGAGGTGAGCTAGAACCATTCGTGGGCTGAAGGCACAAATATCCTCTCCACCACAAACGAGCAATTTACCTAATAGCAGCAAATGTGAATGTTTGTGGGGAATTAGATAATGGAGACGTGTGTGGGCATTTCATTGATAGTATGTATTCGGTGATAACCCACAGCTCACTGAGCTAAGACGTCGGGCCTATGCAGATGTCTCCCATTGTGTGATCATGCCCAGTTTCAAATGCCGATTGGGGTACGTGGGGGTGCGTAGAGTGCAGCGAAGGAAATACGGTGGCTTGCCCCCAATGTACTGATGTTCATTCCTTCCCTGAAACTCACTAGCTCAGGTTCCATAATTTACTCTAGCGATCATCGCAATACCGTGACAGCATTCAAATTTCTACACACGTTTAGGAAATGGTTATGTGTATTATGCCGTACTTGTGGTCACCCACACACACTTGAGTCATCTGTGAGCCACGTATTAAAATTATATTTCGACCAGACTAAAGAGGATCTAGGAGGCATTGAGGAGGAGATCTCTGCCCTCAGGAATGACCTGAAGGCCACTAGTGGCAAAGTCCATTACCTCGACACGTCTCTGGACGATCTGACGGCCAGTGTTGAGCAGCTCCACGACTCTGTACAGGAGCTAAAAACTGGTAGGAACCTTGCACACATTAAACATTCTAACATAGTGTTTTCTAAGCAGGAGCCTAATCATGCAAGCGTGAACATTACTGTAGCTTGGGTCAGCCTTAAAAAGGCCATGTGACACTAGATAGATTAGCTTCCAAGCGGAGGAACCGATAAAACACAAGACTGCACTGTATACCTTCATGCACAACTTGGGTAGTACCACTTCACTGCTGTGGTCTACCACGCTCTTTTGCACAATTATGGATATGTGGTGTTGGTAACCCTGTACAGAGCCAGCTACACAGCCTACACAAGCTGAATCTCAGCCACTACCAGTGACACAGCCTACCACCTCACCTACCAGCACCACTCCACCTACCACTGAACCTTCCACCACGACTCCAGCTAGTCCCAGCACAGCCCAATCCCCTGAGACTACAGATACTAGTGAGCCAACAGCCGAGGCTGAAACTGTCACTACTACTAGTCAGCCCAACACCCCAGTAACAGAAGAAATGAACGCTACTCCCTTGCCGGAATCAACCAGCAGCGACAATTCAACTACCAAGTTGGCCAGTAGCTCACCCAGTAAGAGCTTTGATGAAGGTAGCAGTAATCAGGACTCCAACGAAGAGGGGCCCACCCCACCACCACTCTCGTCCGAGACGCAGACAGCGGTGTCAGACTCCACTGTGGCCACTGAGGACATTCCCAGCTCTCGGGGTGAAAATGCATCATCTCCTTCTGATCATAAGTCCTCTAGCGAGGGTCTACCAGAGGAACAGCCACCGACTGTTGACAAAGACCTTGAACAGACGATCATGAATCTCAACGGTAATGCGTTTATTTTGTACAGTCTGGCACTTGAGAATAGTCACGTACATATGTCACTGAAATCCATTTGTGTTGCGTGTTGTGGTATCTGTGACATGTTTTCACTCTATTTCTCTAGGTTTGCTGGGGCAGTTTCATGCACTGGATGATGATGGCGACAAGGCACTGGAGTATTACGAATTCTCTGGGTATTCTGGCGATACTCCGACAGCTCAACGCATATTCCACGCAATGGATTCAGACGGGGATGGCTTGGTGACATACAGCGAGATCATGGACACCATACACACACTCGAGCAGCAAAGTACAGAAGGAACTGAGGACGTTCCTGTAGGAAATCATCCAGAGGAACACGTCACGACTCCGTACACCGACCAAGATGTAATACCTCCAGGGACTCAGACCCAGCCAGCTGAACCAACTCCTCTTGGTGTCTCGGAGAACAGGCCACCAGGTGGCGACGGAGGACCACGGACGACCGACACTGACCACGACACTACCGGAACGGTCGGACCGATATCGGGCGCTGCTGGTGGTGCCGCAACAACTACAACTAGTCCAGACATGGCCCATAATGGGGCGTCGTCATCACCTAAAAGTGATGATGGTACAGTGAGTGAAGCTGACGAGAGTATCAGTGACTCTGGCTCTGAAGAGGCAGGCGAAACTGTGGCTGGTGAAGATGAAGAGGAAAGTGTCGAGGAAATGAAGAAAAAGGAGGGAGCCCTAGTAACCCTAACAGGTATTGTAAACCACATCATAACTGTCATTCTCGAACATTTGCATGGCACGTGCCCTCAATTATAACTGGTATGTACTTATTGTCAACTTAGTATTTTGTTATTTAATCTATGGTTTCAGCTATTCAGAAGACGTTTGATGAACTTGATATGAATAGAGACGGTCATCTGAGCAACTATGAGTTTTCTGCCTTCTTCCCCCAAGATAGCCCGACTGTGGCCAACATATTCAGCTTTCTCGACGTGAATGGCGACTTCTTTGTGTCCTCCGATGAACTATCAAGGGCAATTGCTGCTCTAGAACAGGGGCTGCCTCCCATGGAAGATGGTGAAGATGAGACGATGACAGAAGTGTCCCCAGAAAAAGAACTGGCAGACTATTTCCATGGCGGTAATAACTTTTAAACTTTTGTCACAGCTCACGGCTCCGTAACTGTACTAAACCTAATATAATAGTTTCCCATTCAACCTTCATTCCAAACTGGTCATTGTTTTTCACTGATAATTGATGAGAAATTCAGAGAAAAACCTGTTGTAGAGCGTGTATGGTGCACATTAATCATCAGCACTCGGTAAATCTGCGGACGTACGTTAAACGTTTTATGTTTTGATACTGCAGACATGTTAATTTTGTCACTATTTATTATAATAACTACAGTTACAATTGAAATGTTATCCTATTGTGGCTGCTTAATTTAATTGCCCTAACACGTAACAAGCTACTTGTCAGGTGTATACTATCCTATCATGCACTCCTATTGTATGTTTCCTATTGTATGTTTCCTATTGTGTGTTTGTCTACAGAATGTAGCTGCAGCGAATGTGGTCGGTAGTGGCTGTCCTACCGTCTGGGATGGTGCAGCGTATGAAAACAGCACTTTCCAGCACGTAGGATAGGCTTTCAAACACCCCACTAATCAGGTCGTCACTGGAGAGGTGTAGCTGCATCCATAGCTGTACGAGCATTGGCCTTCCCTCTGTGGGTAGCTCAACTGGTGGCTGGAGGAAGTTGATCAGCTGGGCCTTTGTCGGTACTCCGAGACAGAGAGTAGCGATAGAGTTAATGGTGCACTCCAGGTTGACGCAGACGTCTCTGTCGTTGCATGCATTCTTGAACTGTGTGTGGCGGAATAGTCAGTGGTGAGTCGTGAATGCACCATAATGAGCCTAATTGTCTTACTTGGGAACACATGGATTTGGTTGACTTCTTCAACAGTAAAGTGAGGAGTGAAGCGTTTGCTTCGTGCTCTGTGCTGTTCTGCGACAAAAGGTATCTCAGCCTCCAATAGAAGCGATGGTAGTGCCCAAAGGTGGAACACACCTTCTCATGAAAATTCATCTCATTCAGCTACAAGTAATCCACAGATAATTGGAGGTTGAAACACAATGGTTGTTGCAGTGAAAAGCGAACCTCTCTTGTTGTGTTGTTGGTATACAGCTGACTTGCGGGAAATGCCTCTTCAACGGTATACTCCAAGAGCTTCTTCCCCATTTTTGACAGCATTGATGACGTGGAGGTAGAGTCCTCTTGGCAGGATGGCGCAGTGGACATTGCCAGTGGCACTAGGAGGGCAAGGAAGCAGACAACGATGCTTGGCTTTAGCAGAGATGATGACGGCATTGTGGCTCTGTGGGTTTGAAGAAGAGAAGTGTGTAGCTTGCTGTACTTTTTCTGAGGTGCTGCTGGCTGAAGCTTGTGTAGTCTCTGCCGAGAACTTCACCTTAAATACTAGCAGGGGTTGCTTAAAATTCAATATTGTGAGTGATGTGTATGTAAGTTTTGGAAAATGGGTCAATTTATAGTCACGCTTAGGTCATTGGCATATTGAGACTCATAAGCCATTATTATGGTGTACCAAAGTGGATTTCGTAATTGTTTTGGTACGCCGAATGTGGTAATGTCGGGAAGAAGCTCACCACTAATGTATGCCTGTATCATTCATGTATCGGATATTGAGCAAGCGTATCACTCATCTTTCTGATTGCGAGCTGCAAAGTTTACTCTCTGAATAGTAATGTTCTTCTTCATGAAATAATTTTGTTATGCATACAGACCAATGGTATGTTGTGGGCAGGAAGGTCTGAAATTTGATTTCACACTACACATGATTGACAAAAACTTTCCTATTAAATTTTGTGCTAAAGGAAAAGGTGGTGATAGCACACAATGTTTTCAGGCCTGGAGTCTGTACAGTTCAATAGGGCCACTTGAGACAGCATTGTCTTGAGGTTGACTAGTAGCTTGTCATCTGGGTCTCTCCCTGCCATGTTCTCTCTAATCCACGATTGGATCAGTTGCGGCTGTCGGGCTGTCTCTAGCAGTATGTTCTCCTGCGGGGGGCCGAAGCCTTGGGCCAGTACTTGGGGTGGGGCCTGGAGGCAGAGATTTGCAATGGAACTGGTGGTACATTCAAGGTTTGATAAATCTCCACAGTTCCTTTTAACCTGCAAAGCAAACCACAATTCAATTCAAAATAGTTGCTGGGGAATAATGGAGACGAGTTGACCTACATTTTCACATGTGAGCTCCATAGATTTCTTCAAGAGGAAGGTGATGAGAGAGAGCTTGACATGGTTTGTGTCGTTCTCAGAAATGTGCCGGAGAGTCAAGTTGAAACGTGTGTAGTTGACAAACATTGGGCACACCAGGTGATAGAACTGGGTCTGTCGTAGCTGCATGGAGGAAGAAAGAAGCGCCTTTATCATAACCAACACCCAGCAACTGTGGCGCATGCTACACTGTGCATACAGGTGAAGTGTAGGGGCTTGAGCATTGAGTGAAACAGGCGGCATGGTATCGTACCTCTGTTGATAGGGTGTGAGTGGGAAATGAATGTTCTATTGCCCACTGCAAGAGTTTCCTTGCTGTCTGGCTACCCTCTTGAGTTGATAGTGGAGTTTGTGGCACTGGAGCTCCAAACACTCCCAGCTGGCAGCTGATCGTCACCAGTAGTAGTGTTGCAATAATGATGTGCCCTTCTGTGGCTAGAGGAAATGCTCCTGCCATTTCGCTGCAGATAATAATTTTTCTTTCTCTTCTGGTGAGTTTTCCGATGGCCATAGAACTTTATATAGTGTGAACGGTTGTGTTGCATTCTTCTTAGAGTCGACGGTCTCCATGGCAAACAAATTCTAAAGCTCATTATCGTTCGGTAATCGTTTTGGGTTCCAGACTTGGTTACAATGATATTCATAAGGTCCTATATACTTGTTACCCCAAGGAATTCTGTGTAATATCAGTAACCTGTGAGTGCCGTAATGTGATATTCTGCACATAAATTACCTTTGCATGTGGCAAGAATGAGTGCAATTTCATTGCTGAATCAACGTAGAAACTTTATGTTGGATAAAGAAAATTATTGGGACTCATTATAGTATATACTTGCAGCCCGTAGCTACCGTACTGATAGCTAGCTAACTGAGATGTCCTGACATGTGTTAGCTAAAGCATCCCATGCGCGGCATATATACGACATAGCGCTGTAGTGCAGCAGTTAATTTGCAAATTTTATTCTCAAATCAATAACATTATACGTAGGTATCGCAATATTGCTGAAAAGTGATACATTTGTCAACCAAAACAAAATGAATTTTTTTCTGTCTTGATCCTAACGAAGCAGTTTATCCAGGTTGTCCAGTTCTTGCTTCGCTTCTTCAACAATCTCAAGAGCCTCCCAGTAAGTACACAGCTCAACAGCCGTGTCGCTGAACGGAGTCGTACTGTTGCACCCTGCTTCTGCAGCGCTCAAATCCGATGCTGCCACTGATACCATCTGCAGCAATATACACACATGCAAGAGACTAAATTTTACCACGGTAGCTCGCTAGACATTGATGCCTACCCATTCACAATTCTGCTCGTAAGATTTTGCCACCACAATCTGCAGTGCGGATATCTCCAGGTCCTCCACGTCCTCCCCATCTCCAGAGCCAGACTCGACTCCGTCGGCCGCAAACTGAGACGCTTCTGCCGCGTCCAGCGCCGTCAACAGCCGTTTCATGGTGCACATGTTGTAGAGCGCAATACGGAGGACGGAGCTCACGGCCGGAGGCTCCAGGAGCAGCGAGTCTGCAGCGACGTCCAGCGTGTGGGCCAGCACCTCTTTCTGCAGAAAAAGAAACATGATCCCTTCGGGGTTATGGGAAAATCCCTTGCGCCCACGCAATGCTATTGTTTGTCCACTGTACGCAATGCAGTCGCCGCGTGCAGGCGGGGCACCTACCACAGCGGTTGTCAAGTTGTCGAGCTGTACGATGAGTCGGCTGGTTTCCACTGTGGCATTGCTCGTTTCCATTGCGGCATTGCTCGTTTCTCTTTTCTGCTGCAGGTGCTCCGGTGTTTCGCACGGCAGAGAGTGCACGTGAAAGACTGCCGCCATTGCGAGAATAAACAGGAGTGTTTGAGTCATCGCTTCAGCTCTGGAAAAGCTATCTTAGGGTGTTTTCCACTGCTGATTTTCGGTCTTAGTTGCTGGAGCTTTGTAGCCAATGTCGTTTTATATAACTCTAGATGCAAAAACAAAGGCTTCCATAGCCCATGCATTGCACCCATACTGTATCTTTTCGTCCGTCTCGTTGGCTTCTTTGTGTTGGCGTGCGTGGTTGGAGGCCAGTCCGGGCTACGGAAGTTCTTTTTCTAGTAACTTCTAATGCCAAGTTGTAATGGAGAGCTAGGTAACTATGTATTATTAACTATGGCCACGTATCATTCCGGCTTTTTTACACCAGTGCAGGTCGACAAAAATGGGAGATTTCCCATTGCCAGCAGCTATGTATAATACTGGTCTCTCTGATAACGACACACATTAAAATAAAAATTAAAGGCAATAATATGGAATATGTCATTTTTTCACACACATTAAGTACCGCACAAATAGGTCTATTATAATAATATATAGCAGAATTCACACCCAAATGGGAGCAGAGAGCAATTGCTGTGAGACTGACATACGTTTTTAGAAAATTTGATTTACTGGATGGCTAGCTGATACTGCAGTGGTGTGATGCATGGTGGGCGACATGGGCACTTTAATGTATGGCATGCCATTTCTGCTAGGTTTTGCTAATTAAAGGAGGTGATTAGTGTCAAAACTAATGGGGTTGAGATACAAACTAGAATGAACGCAATGCATTTTTAGTAAGTCAACATGAGTATACTGTAGTTCAATTTTCAACTCTCATACATAAAACATGGTGTGCAGTAGCAGTGCCATCACTTATGTAAATTCAGACAACTTAGGTAGGCTTGCTTCGCTAATTTGAGTAGGCCAAGCACATACATAGTTCTAGGAAAGCATTGTTCTAGGAAAGCATTATTCCATTAATCGTGAGTGAGTACTTTGCTATGTGACTATATAGATGACTCTGCATTGTTCTCTTTGCGTAAATGTTAATTACGTAATCAACCAATCACAACTAGACGACATAATTTATTAAGGGAACACTTGCAGTAGGTTCTCTCTTATTTGGGACACAGTACTGCAATAGTACAGTGTTTTCGTTGTGTTTAAGGAGTAAACAACAGAGCATCTTCTCTCTCTGGCATGTATATAGTCCTGTAGGAAGACTGCATGATTATTGCCGAGCGCGTTAGCGTGAGGCAACTACTCCGGGTTGTATTCTCGCACGTGTCGGTCACGCTTAAGAATGTCAATTAGTCACGCTTGGGGACGTAAATTAGCCACGCTTAGGAATGTCAACTTCCGTCTAGCTTCCGCCGTGCGCGCGCGCAGATTCGTGGGAAGTCTGGCTTCGCGCGCAGTCCGTAGAGAGCGCGCGAACGAGCGGACTGTTTACGCACGCATTGGCTGGCAGGCCCGAGGCAAGATATGCGCGTGCGCATTCCTAGTTAAGCATAAATTTAGTTACCTTGGTGACCTAAAATTAAGTCATGCATTCATAATTTCCTGTGGAAATTAAATCATGCAGAAATATATAGTCAGAGTCACAGAGTCTAAAGTCACATTATTACTCACAATTAGTGGAATGGTGCTTTCCCAGAACTTTGTATATCACCACCATGCCTGACTGCTGAAGAAGTATAACTGACTGCAACTTTCTGATTGCAAATTACCCGTGAAATGCATCCATACTAGTTAAACATTTTCAGTGCATTCTCCCCTACGGTATTGTAGTGGCCCAATGTCTCGTATATAGTGGCAATGCTGGAATCTCTGTAAGGCACAGACAATATGTTGTGCAAACTGGAGAAGGATGGGAACTGTATATTATTTAGGAGGCTCCTGACAAACTTAGCCAATTTAGACCTCAATGAGCGCACTGGTAAGCAAAATCATGATTACATGTGTCTTTCTTGTCCAAAATACCACGTTTCTGTGCAAACAAGACCATTAATTTCTCTGCAACCACACAAAGCTCTATACGACTACCCCTCCTCAGCACACACACACACACGTGTGGCATGCACTTTGTAAATGTATATAATTATACTGTGTCATCTGAAACCCTACTGTTTGTATATATACCTAATGATGCACTCATGCTTGCACACACACACACATACACAGCACACCCTGAGTCTGTGGATCTGAGGAGACACGTATTTCCTTACCCACAAAACCATGGTGTCTTAGTGATATATAGTCCCTTGCTCATAAGAGGTGCATGATTCACCTGCTTCGGTAATAGTGACATTAATCGCCCACTGCCCTCACCGGAGATGACTTCTCCCCAATTTGTTAAACAGCTTGATAAGCTAAATAAGGCATGGTCGTTAGCATAGGAATGTGTGAGATCAAAATGAGCTAGTTGCTGACTGCTCTGGTGACAAAGAATGTCGGGCAATTCCCAAATGTTACAGCCACAGCAGACTCCCACTCACTGCATACATACTTTTAACCTCATTCCCAGATATGAGAACCCTACTGCACTGCTTTAACCTCCATCCATACATCTTCTCCATCACTCACTCCACTGCTAGGAGTACATGTCTTCGGCCTTACTGCAGGATCTCTATATAGCCTTCAGACAAAGTAGGAGTCTTGGTGAGTTGGTAAGGAAATCCTTTTTTTCTTGGCCGATATGGTACTGGCACTCTCCACATTCTAGCTCTACAGCCATCTTTTGCCCTTCTCTGGCCCTCCTCCACAAGCCACGTGTGCCGAGTAATATTTTTGGTGGCACCCCGCTAAAAACAAATCTCAAATCATCTCATCGTACACAAGTACACCATGAGATTAAGTTCTAGGGCAGGTTGTGTCTAACGGGTTGAGTTGGACATTGTTACCCTGGTTCTCCTTACCCTTCTCGCCTCACATAATTGCTAGCTACCACTCTGCAGTTCCTGCACTTGGCAATCAAGGGTTAACGATATCTTGGAATAGAGTGCATGATGCATTGTTATGCCCACCCTCAGCAAAGAGACTCGTTTGCATATGGGGAGAATCCAGGAAGCAGGGCAATCTTCCCTTATTACACTAATGGATTGTTTCCCCAGAACATTATACTACTGAGTCCTTACAAGGAATGGAATTTTAATTAATCTTAGCTGCAGGTCTGGTAAACAGTATATAGTATTCATAGTGTAATGGCGTGGAGCTGGTTGCTTTAAGCTATATTATTTACTATTACCATTCCACCATGGGAACCAGTGCAACGTGTGATATAAGCACCTGATAATTATATTTACTGGTGATAGCAGGTCAACAAGTCTTCTACTGACTAATTATGAAATTCCCACCTTCAAATGACGTCTAGACAGTTAAGATGATGTATGTAGGATGTTACCAAATCATTTCTAATGCGGGTAAGGCACTTCCTGGAAATGTTAGTCCTCGCCTGCGCCTGCCGGATAGGTTTCTGACAATATCCATTATAAAAGGAGTGTCTTAGGACGCACAAAACTGAACTGTTCCAAGAGGAGGTCAGAATATTAAACGAACTATCAATCATGATTGGACACTGCTTCGCGACTCTCCTTGCCATCCTCTCATTGTTGCTAGTGGCTGCCCAGTCAGTCCCTCTCAACTGGACCCAGCCACCGCCCTGCATCCCTGCACATGGATCTCCACTGAATGCAACAGATGCCTTCATCAGTGACGCGGTCATGAAACTGTCACTGGAGGAACTGCTGCCTGAAGCAGGGAGCCTCAACCAAAGTGTAAGTTCAATGATATGCGGTTATCATACCACCACTTTTCAGCTGTCTACTGCAGCACTTCCTATGGTTTTGATAGCATGTAAGCACTTGCCAGGGTATATATATTATAAAGCACCAATATTGCTCCACATAATATTCCTAATGACTGAAAATATAGCTCCCAGCTCTATAGACTGGACAAATGTTTGTTTTGCAGGAGGTCTCTGCAGTGTTTGTGGAGGACATGTGTCCCTTGTTTCGACACTACACTCTGCATAGTATTTTTGCTCGCCACCACCTCCACGATGACGAGACAGGCAGCTTCACTCATAGTGCCCTCATTTCCCTACTCCTTCAAAACGTATTGGAATTATCCTGCAACTTTGTAAGTGTGAAAACTATTAGCTACTATGATGAACACGTTTCAATCTTTCTTTGGTGTTTTTTTTGGCCGGTGGGTGAAACACAGATAAAGACCAGCTACCCTGAGAGTGAGGAGTGGTCCAGATTTAATTGTACCATGGGATCTATGGCTCAGTTCTGCTTCAGCCTGGACACACATCAAGAGCTCTCCAGTCTGCTGCTAACAGGGGCAGCCAGCGAAGGTAACCCCAACCCTGATGCACGGAGAGTTCAGTCGTGGCTGAGGAAGGCTGTTCCTGGGAGAGAGCCAACACCAGGAGTCCTCCAGAACCTGTTTCCCCTTCTGCATAACTTGTTTTCCAAGTGTGACCTCCCAGCCGATGCCACTGCAGAGCAGATAACTTGCATGCCATTCGTCAACCAATCTGGAATGTGACTGAATTACGGAATGACTGAGTTCTAGGCTTAACCAGTTTTTTTGTAGCGAACGTTTAGTTTCAATAAGACATTGTATAGCTTCCACTTTTAGCCATATATACCCATACCACTACTCAAAAGGTTGGAAGAAAATGGCCAGCCCTGCGTCTCTCTAGACAGATGTCTGTCCAATGTCAAGATTAATATGTGGGTAAAGATAGTTTAAGGGGAGGAACCAGAGCTGTTCCCAGTCAGCGCTCTGGACCACCTGTCAGTTTCAGTGCGGGTCCGGGGTCAAACCCCTGTGACCCGGCACCTTTTGCTGACAGTACCCACATTTCTACCACTTTAGCCACTTGGGCTGGCCACGAGAGGTGACTAACTAAAAAGTTCTCTGTTATACGTACAACACTCATAAAAAAACAAGACGGGGATCAAAGCATAATCAAGTCTCTTCTGGGAGCCATCAGATCACACCCAATACTCAAGAGGGGGAGGTTCCATGCATGTCTCTTTTTGGACGGCTATGACATTTGTAACGAACACATTTGCACCGCACCTACTCCATCTGCGATAGATGCTACAGTGATGCAGCTTGCAATTGTGTATGTGTTTCTGGTGCAGATATCAAAGAGTAGACACACTCACATGCACCCATGTACACACCCATGCACGTAGGCTGTTGTTGTTGTGCGCAGTCTATGTTGCCTGCGCAGCACTTTGTTAATATGCACTACACACTATCATTAGAGTACGTAATACATACTCTTTCTTTCTGCACCTATTTCTATCTGGCTTCGCCAATCCCTCTTTCGCCTCTATATCACACTCCCCTGCCACCCAATCTCTAATCAGGGTGTCAACGATTTTGCATTTTATGTAGGTGCACTGATTGAAGAAGAGACTAGTTAACCATCCTAAATACTTTGACTCTCATTAGAGTATGGAATAGAAATGCACGGCGAAACTAGATAGAAAAATGATAGTCAAAGTATTAAGGATGGTAAGCTGGTCTCTTCTTCAACCAGTGTACTTGCAAAATCGTTGACACCCTTAATAGAAAGGGGGGATTGGCAAAGGTAATAGAGGCAAAAGAGGGATTGGTCAATCTAGATAGGAAAAGGTGCAGGAAGATAGAGTGAATTACTTCGAAGTATTAAGGATGGTTAACTAGTCTCTTCTTCACCCAGTGTACCACCATAAAATGCAAAATCGTTGACACCCTTAATAGAAGGGGGGTTGGCAAAGGTCACAATTTTAATAGAGCCGAAAAGAGGGATTGGTGAATATCTAGATAGGAAAAGGTGCAGCAAGATAGAGTGCATTACTATTCCATACTCCGAGAGTCAAAATATTACTAATGCACTGATGTTCCTACAAAAAATGCAAAATCGTTGGCACCCTTAATGAGCAACTATACCCGCTCTTATTCCTGCACATAACTGCAAAGTTCAATGAGAAGCATGTTAATCTCTCAACTATATTAAAATCAATTGCTACTTTGATCTAAAAGTAAAATGAAGTAGGCGAACTGCGCATGCGTGATACCGCTATGGCGTTTACTCGTGGTCTCCACGCCAGTAGCTCGCGCAGAGTCTTACACTGGCTAGCTACAGCATGCGGGGGTAGATACATGGCATTCGTTGTGACTTGTTGTGCCTCCAAGGTGTGCTGATTTGCATATTGCCTGGTTTTCACGCCATAACTTCTAAACGCGGCACTTTTACGAAATCGCCAATCGCCATTCGCAAGTGTAGCGCTGAACCCGTTGGTGTCGCTTTTTTACCTCCTAGTGGCGCGTAGCAGAAAACGACGCGTCGGACAGTAAACCCTCGCTGCGCATGCGCGCCGAGGGTTCTTGAACAGTAGTATGTGCGTTAGCTCCTGACGAAAGGGCATCCATCCTATTGTTACATTGTGGCCCTGGTAGGGAAGAGAGCAGTCCATAAATGTCTGCTCCTTTAGGACAGCCTTCAGTGTGTTTGCCACATCCTGACTGGGCAGACCCTGAGCCCCGTCTTCCACTGGAGCGGAGGAGGATCTACCCACCAGAGAGCTGGTCAGCAGCAGTAGAGTCAGGAGACCGGTGGACAGCAGTTGACAGTTCATATTTCCAGTTATCATCAACACACAGCTTACTGCTGACCAGCTCTCTGGACTGCTCTCTTCCCTACCAGGGCCACAATGCATGCCTTTTCATCAGGAGTTAACACACATACTGTTCAAGCTAGAGAAGTAGCAATTGATTATAATCTAGTTGAGAGATTAAACATACTTCTGATTGAACAGTATTTCCAAGAGCGGGTGCAATTATGAAGGTTAGCTTACAGTCAGTTTTAGAGGAAATGGTGCAAATCTTTCCTCTCTGATGCTATTATAGCTATGGGTGTTTCAATGCTAACGCTAAAGAGCTGCGTGCATAGCGAGAGGACTTGGGCGGCTATGCACCCAGAGTTAGCTCCTTGTAGGACCGTGGCTCGCGCGGTGTCCGTACGCGCGTTCCGAGCGTGCGCATGAGATCAAGGGAAAATTCCGGATTAGGCGCGCACTGATTGAAGGTTAGCGGGTATCTCAAGGGTATTCCCTCGCTGTTCCCGTAGAAATATGGGCAAAACCCTTCTAAATGCTCTTTAGTGAAGCATACATACAAACTGATTATCGCCTTCATACCTTGTGCATGTATTTTAACCAAACTGTTAGCTACCAAGAGAGTTTTGGTCAACCCTCAAAAGAATAACTCTCTGAATTATGAAAGCAAACTTGGAATGTAAAGGGTACACGTTATGAGCCCATTTGCGTGATGCACAAAATCATTCAGTGTAAATCCCATTCCCTAACTACTGTCTGCCACAATTATATCCACATTATACTGGGCACGGAGTAGCTACGTACACTCTTTCGTCTCAGTTTTAATTCACAACTTGAATTCAGACACTGTTGGTATAATATCTATCTAGCTACTGTGTCTAAAAATAGACTGTTAACAACCGGCCCTGTTATTGAATTTCAGCAAATCTCTGTTACATAATGTGAGATGAGTTGGTGGGTTTGAGTATAAGTGCATCTGCACATTATTGCAAGAGGAATGTAATCACCGCTACTGAACTCTCTCAACTTTACTTTGGCATGTAAACAAGATACTTTGGGAATTCGAGAGATGTATTGGTATATTTACCTCTTGTGGTGCAACATTAATGCCTCCAGACGACTTAGACAGATTAGGTAATTGGAACTAAACAGTGGAATTCGTTCTACAGCTAACCAACTCCTTGGGAGTCAGTTGGTGAGCGTGTACGAGTGGGTATCAGTTGCACTCTAATGTATAGGTATTCCTGAGTCCTTCAAAGAATTGAGTCAGGCTCACCTACACACAATCGGTGTATACAAACTTGAACGGTCTCCGCTGATATATACGAGCTGTGATACATAGTCCCGACGCATTTCGCCATCGCTGGGAGAATAACGCATTGTATTGTCTGGACTCACGGGTTTCTTCATCGAATGATTTTTCTGTTGTTCTATTATAGTTCTGTTGGAACCTAGTGGAACTATAAAAGTCTAGTCGAGAATGGAGCTACAACGGACAACTCGACAAAACTTTCTCCAAGACCATCGTCGCTCTAGCTCTAGACGCCACAAATGGATCCGAAGACAGTTGTATGGCTATTTATGTTGGGTGTGCAGACTGTAGCGCGGACCGTGGCGCAACACGACCCCCAGGTTTCGACCGCCTACACCCTTTCCACTGGAATGCAGGCCGTCCAAAGCGTCTCTGTGAGTTCGAACAACACACGCAACCATGCAGGCATACTACTGCGCTGCATACCCCTACGTACGTATTATACGTAGCTGCTAACCACTCCACCCCGTTAATTTTTCCCTGTGCGCAGATTGGGCAGATTGCTCGTCTCCTGGAAATTCCCCCCAGCCGACTCAAGATTCCGGCGAATTCCCTCGTTACATGCGGCGACGGAACCAACACGCCTCTGCGGGAGGCGCTGAACACCGCGTGCGGAGTGCGCAGTCGAGTCCAGGAACTGGCGGGAGTTTGGCGGGAAATGCCCAGAGACTTGGAACTGATAGTTGTGTTGAAAGTGATGAGACATATTCAGAGAGACTCGTATCGTTGGGTAAGTTAGCTATAGCGACAACCTTTTACTGGTAGCTATATATAGCTAGGTTTTATGATGCATCCAGCGTTCGGATGCTTGTTGACTTAGGTGCATAATACTCTCCCCCTTTATATTCTCTCTCTGCATATACAGCTTGCAGTATTATCTGGGAAGGATTCATCCGTGTTGTCAGAGAAGATTCTGGGCAAAGTGTGTCTGCAGTGGGAGGCACTGGTCATCTCTGAAGAGGCAGAACAGAATCTCCAGGAGTACATCACATCTGCTGGACTCACTACCAACGAACGGCAACAAACGCAAATCGCTTCTGTCACCACCTCTGAAATTATCATGAGCTATTTCTCTCCTTGATGCCCAACTAGGCGATGATGACATCACACATGCATCATCAGTCTTTCAACCAACACAGGCAAACTCCCATCTTTCATTCTCCCATTGCTCGGTCAATTGCCCTAGTGCTATTGCTTTCACATTAATAAACAACAGCTCTTATTTTTTATCACTCATACTCTAACACCAGTCATAGTGTCACTTTATTTTGTCAGATTGAAATGTTCAGTGAAATTTTATATACAATATTGACTAAATTTTTACACAACAAAACTCCACAATTCAAAATACGGACATGATGCCATATTATAGATAATATAATTCTAGACGGTGATTATTTCCTCAAATGAGAGATTGTTGAAAAGAATGTTAAAGGTCTGTCTCATTAGGTCGAACAGTTGAATGGCGACGGCAGAGTGGAGGCGGTCGGGCTCAGGGAAACAGTCTCCGATAGCAAACTGGTTGGCTGCGGCCAGCACCAGCTCCATATCGAGACTTGGAGCTGTGCACTGTACACTCCCAGTGCAGGTGTCTCTCTGCCGCAAACCAGTCTGAGTGAGGAAATCACAAAGTAACGGTATATAGCCACGTGGAGTTAGTGGAGAGTTTAAGCCGAACAAAATAGAAACGTCTCATTCCAGAGCCACAGGTTTAGTTGCATACACCATGAGACATCAACATACACTTGAATGTTTGTGCAGTTGATCAACTGAAAGGTACATTGTTCTATAGATTAGCTTTAGTCTAACAAACACTGCAAGTTTTTTGGCTACATGAACCAATGCACCCACACTCATACCCTTGCTTACAATTGCTCTCTCAGCCGAAGGCAGTATTGTGGTGCTCAGTGTCTCAACCAGGGCCTCTAGTTCCTGCCTGGACTGGTTCATCTGGACCAGAGTCCCATTCATCCACTGTGTCAGATCCCTGAGACGGCCATGCAGTCCATACATGTCACTCGGGCACTCTCTCGGCAGTTGATACTGCGCAAAGTGGAACAGAATCCTCTGCATAAAAAATATCACAAAGTCACAAATGATGTGAGGGTAACATTTTGTCAGCTTACACACTGAAGGGGTAGCAGTTGGTCCAGGTAGTCACCACTGAAGAAGTGATAGAGGCGACTCATTTCACTCTGTTCGTACTCTGTGAGACTGTGGCAGAAGGTGCAGGCAGGGAGGGTGTGGAGGTAAAGGTGGATGAGGTGGTGTAGACTGGAGTTGAGGAGGTGGATGGAGCAGTTAGATCGGAAGGTGGTATCGTCACACACTGGAACTCTTGGGACAAAGTTAGAAGAGGTCAAATTCACATCCTAGGTATGAAGCCTGTGAGTGACATAGAATGTTAAACAACAATCTACTTACGTGGTTCGGAAGATAATATGGCAGTGTTGTGTTGATCGTGTCCAGCAGGTTAGAGAAGAGGTCTGGTGAGGCATAGTTTTCCAAGATATCTTCCATGACAATGTACTGAGCATATCCGTTCACAATATCTGCCTGAGTTCCTACATCAGCACTGCTCTCTGGAGCACACGAGTACCCAGCCTGCACCAATCAGACATGTAATATCATCACTCACCAATGGGTTCATCTAGTGAAGCATTAGATATGTGCATTCATACGGCATTTGTTTATCGTTGATCTGAATGTTGGGAATCACTAGACTACTCTACTAGCAACCCACCGAGAGGCAAGGTTGGAGTTCCACATATGGTAGTTGTGCAAGGACCTCTTTCAGGCCCTCAGTGGCACAGACTGTGTGTTGGACATGGTCTCTGGAGAGAGCCTGTCCATAGGCTGCTGATGGGGGTACACTAGTCTGCCAAGTGATTGGTAGGGCACGGGATGGAGAGAATGCAGCCAGAAGAGAACCGATGATCAGAATGATTACGTCCATTGCAAATATTACAGCAGTAAACTAGATAGATGCTTGTGTGTTCGTTGGATGTAACTTATATAGTGATAGAAGATGAACTGAAATGATATTATGAAAAAGGGAGTGAAGAACAACCACGTCCTAGCAGTTTATTATACAAAAACAATGGCAATGATTGTTGGCCTCTCCATGTGTGCAATAGAGGAACTGGAGCCTTGATGTAATTATTGTGATGTAATTGTATTGGAATCACAACACTGAACTCGAGTGTCGTAGAAACGAAGCACCCCCAGACTTAGGATTTGTAAACTTGTCAATACCAAAAGCCACATAGAGGTGCGAGAATTCCCCACACAAAATGTCCCCTTTGGAGAGGAATTCACTTCATGGGGTTTTCCTGGTATGCCAACTGAGTGCCAAAAACACTTGAAGCCGTGATCTGCTCGCTCTTGTGTAAATCTCTGAAGGGTACAAGAATCTGAAGTAATTACGAAATCAATGAGTCATTCTTATGGCATGTTTTCTACTCTGGATGCACTCTTTCTTCATTGTATGACAATTAGGCCATGTGCCAGCATACCATCAGAATGTACAGTTTTAAATTTATTATGATGACTTGGTACTTAATTAACACTGAAACTACATAATGAACAGCAATGATCAACATTGGCAATCACTCTGTAACAATTTTCGTACAATGTTCTCAAAAGTTTGCATAGTTTGAAAATGACTCCAAGTATGCTGCTACGACATTGAAAATTGCTCTGTACTGCATCTGAAAGAAAAACAAGGTTTGTTTACAATACAACTGTCGTTGAAAACCCACCGCAGTGAGGACAGCTCCAGGTTTCTGTACCCTGAGAGCCTTGACCACCTGGAACACATCCACCACTCCCTCTGTCTTACACCTCTCAATGGTGGTGACTATGGCACAGAACATCCCTGACCTACCCACTGTGTCACTGTATAAATGAAGAACATTAGCATCGCTGACCTCCCAACTGTGTCACAGTGGATACGTACAACCAATTCATTGATATCATGCGCCCACCATGAGCGATAACCATATTTGGTTTTGCTACGGGCTTTAACTTGCCTAGCTACCACGAATTTGATGCTGTAGTCTATGGTTTCTGGAAATGCCATCAGAAAACACACCGCTGATCTCACGTCTTTTATTGCAGAACGGCCACCATCTGCAACTGTTCACACCCTACAAACCAGCACCCACTATAATAATTCAATGGAAATAGCTTCCGTAACTTAATACAAAACCTATACGCCTCTAAAGAGCAGTTGGGCTGCGCAACGCATGTCCGACATGTAGCCACATCCTGCAGAAACCATAGCATCTCAATCTCTCGCACATGTCAAAGCCTAAGAGAGGTGAAACCCATACTTAACTCTGCTAATGCCAGAAATAGATGATGTGTCTATTTCTGGCAACTTGTTGCCTGGGTCGATCATACCAATACACATTAGAAGTTTTGTTGAAACAACCAAGCTGCCTCATGTATGTTTGCCTTAACCCTTAACAAATTTCTCATAAGGCCTGCAGAATTACAGTGGCTCACACACACCAAACTGTGCAATTCTATAAGGGAGATATGGCTACTGAATACATGACCTTACCTGGGGGATATATAGCTATAGCACACTAGCCAACGAGTAGGAAGACAGAAAAACAAACAATACAAACACACACAAAAGCACGCATACAAACTCGTTCACACATGAGATGCCCAGCATTCGGAACCGGGTGGTGAGTGAGTTAAAGTTAAAGATCTTTCACGCAAACACACAAATACACAACACACACCACACGGACAGCGTAGCTATGCCACACACCTGCAGTGGACCACCACCGGTCCTCCACTGGACCTTCTCTGGAACTTGGTCATCTCAGAGATGGTGTCGACGATGGATTTGAGGTTGGAGCACTGTCCATCCGGAGTCCAGCAGGTGATGTGGATCTGGAATACTTGGAGGGCCTTCCCTGACTGGGGGGGCGCACACAATTATGTGAAAAAACTGCCAACCTGTTGCTAACCTTTTCCGGGACAACACTAAAGGAACGGATACAAAAGCTGGGCAGTTGTTCAACCTGCAGCGAGTCCACCAGAAACTCTCCCACTTTCATCACTCCCGACTCATCAGGCCAGTACTGGTGGAAGACTTCCTGCGTGACAGCAGAAAGGGTGGAGTTGGAACTCTCCGGAAAGTTCTAACATCTATACACACCATAAATGGGAAATCCCCTTCTGGGATCAAGTACACATTAATGGGGAAATAATTTCTTCTGAGAAGTTGATTGTGAGGGCTTCTCATCAAGGAGGAAGTTTGTGTCATGCATACCTCTGTGATCTCCTCCAATGTGTTGAGATTGACAATTACCCCACACTTCATGTCATACACCATCTTCCAGAAGTCTCTGGCGGAAGAGTGACTGGGGCTCTGGGCAACAATGAATGCCTTCTTCTGCTTGTAACCCTGTTCAAGTCCAAATGGAAAGATTTGGTATCTCTTTGTTCAATAAACTTACATTTACAAAAACAACTTCATTTTCCAACTCTGTAGCCCGACCATCAAGACCTGTGTGCATGTATACAATTACACTCTGATGCAGTGTGATGCTATTGGCAGGACATACTTTGTAAGAAAACAGAGTTTCTGTTTTTTCGCCAATTTGATTTCCGTGGTTTGTTCTGTGGCTTGGGAGACAGCTTACTCAGTGCCTGCAGTGGCAAAGAAACAGTCTAAGTAATCAAAGTTAGGTGCACAAAAACACACACACTAACCACATGCTTGCACAAAAACAGTGCAAGCTAACACATAGCTAGACATTGTTAGGCTGATATAGCAAGCACAGGTTTACAGACACGAGTACTGTACACACTGGCAGTTTGCTTTGTCTCCACAACAGTTTGTGTTAGAGGGATAACCTTAAACTGTTTCTCGAATCCGGTGGTGTTGGTGAGTATGTGCTGTTGGCTCAGGTCGTCCATGGCAGCTGTGAAGCCACTGGCATCGATCTGAGTCTCTCCGCACACTAGCTCCTCCAGGATGGCGTCGTGGATGAAGATGAACTGCTCCTGTGTGGCAAATGGAGACGATATGAGCTTACGTTGTTTAACCCACAATAGAAGCCAAGAAACATGCACACACTCTCCACTATAAACAATCTCCCATTCAGAACATTTGTAAACAGAAACAGTGAGCCCGTAGCCGTACACTGACTCACTAGGTTCTGGACCATCTTCATTCTCTGAGTGCGGAGGAGTTTGATTGTCCCAGCCACGTCCACCAGTCTCTCCTTCAGGAGCTGCTCCAGGACACAGTCTATGGTGATGAGTGTCCCCGTCCTCCCCACTCCAGCACTGCACGACAAACACTCTATCTTTGCACCATTGATGATTAGGTGAAAACAAAAGTGGGACACTGGCTTAGCCAGTAGTGTTTAGGTCGGATTAGTAGCTGCTAGGATGTGCGAAAAGGCATAGCGGTAGTTTCAAAGAGAGTGCACTTGCCACTAGTAACCCAACCACCATGCTATAGTTCAGCAAGGTAAGAAGGTTAGAGGAGAATGGTGGACCTGCAGTGGACCAGTATGGGTCTCTTGGGGAACTGGTGTAGTTTCTTGAGTCTCCTGTGGAAGGCCAGTAGAGAGGTGGGCTCTGTCGGTACTCCATGTTCAGGCCAGGCCATGTAGTGGAGTTGAGTCACACTCAGGGCTCTCTCTGACCTCCCCTTCAACTGGAGGTGAGGGTGAGGGAAGAAATAATACCACAAGTGAGTTTAGGTACAGTGTGTGTGTGCAAACATGTGCAGGTCATAGTGATTCCTACCTGTCTATACCCACACAACCAAACAATACACACCGATTACATGCACTGAAAAATGATATGGCGTGCACAATGAGGTTTTTAGGTTTAGATAAGGCACACAACTCATCTTGGGTGGTTGGTTATGTGTTCCCTTGAAACAACTTCATATATACAAGCAGTGTGTTGCACATAATGTTAAAGAGATGAGATGGAGCACCCATACCTCCAGGAGAAGGTTTCTAGTGGTGTAGTCCACCAGTCTCTGTTGCTCAGTGATGGTGACTCTGAACGGACCAAACGACCGTGTCCCAGAGTCGGGCCAGTACTTGTAGCACTTGACCTTCTTCTTCTCCTTCACGTCTGTGAGCATCACAATGGTGGGCGGTCTCTCCTGCCACACCAGTCGCCAGAAGTCCACCACTGTGTTAACCAACGGCCCTGGGGTGCAAACCAATTTTTTTATTACACAGAAGAAATAAATAGCCCTGTGTATGCAATAAGCAGCATACATCACCCTTGTTGTACCCTCTGTGTGTGCAATAAGCAGCATACATCACACAAAAGAAAAGAAAGCACCTTGGGTGGCAATAAATTTTTTCCTGTGTTTGTATCCCTGCATAAAATGATACAGAATAATGAGAGTTAGTGTGTATGAATGAATGATCGATGGCATACGTCAATGTAGCAGGCATTGATATAGTCTCTCTGACAGTCTGAGTTTCCGTCAATAGGCATGAGAACAATCCTGTTGTCATCATCTGCAGACAAGAGGGCAAAGGACAAGGCTTGACCGCATCCAGTGTTTGATGACATCATAGACTTACACACTGTGATATTGGCAAATCTGTTTAGTAGTATTGCATCAGGGTCAGTGCCAATTGTCATAGGATGATCAGGATCTTCATCTACCACCTGCATACAATAGGATATGCCATCAGTGATTATTGGTCTGAATATTTCCCTTACGTCAAACTGTTCTTGGAAGATAGCATTGTCGTTGGCATGGCCACTGGCTACATACTCCTCAAAATCCAACACCGGTACGGGAGAGAGAAGGACTTGGTTGTTTTCGGTTGTCTCCTGAGTCGGCTGCTCCTCTTTCCTCACAAACAGCGTGACTTGTCTCTCTGCCCGTCCGGCTGGGTTGACGGCCACCAGCTGGTAGAGTCCGGTATGGCTGGACTCGGTGCAGGGGATGGAGAGACACCCGTCCAGTCCCACGTCAGTGGAGTAGTTGGTCATCACCTCCTCTCCCTCATGGTACCACGTCAATTTAGGCTCGGGGCTCCCTGTCACTTTGACTGTAAACTCAACTCTCCCTCCCTCGACCACTCGGACGATGTTTACAGGGAATTGTAATATTCGAGGCCCTGCACAGTGGACGAAGTGCCTACAATCTACGCATCAAGAATATCAAGCTATACCATTTCTGGAACTGATGGTTCGTCAGGAGATGTGGTGGTATCTCGGACAACAGTTAGAGGGTTTCATAGAAGGGTGTTCATTGGAGGTCTATTTTTCTTGAATTTCAGTTTTCTAACAGGGAAAATAAAGCAGCACACTTTTTAGAGCTAAAACTTACATTAAATGCAATCGAACCTGCAGCAATATGCCAGCAATAAAAGCATAATAGAGGTGATCAGAATAAAAGAAGCCGAAGCCAGTAATGCACCATAGATGATACAATTTTCGCCACAAAATATGGATCCTGAAGAAAGCAAAAGAATACGGGTAGTAACTGATTGAATAGGTCTTTAACACTAATGACTTACTACCATTGACCATGATTTCTGGAACTGATTGGTTCCCCTCTGTTCAGTTTGTACATATATAATGTCACTATACAACCCTAGATGATCTTCTTCATTAACGGCAGCCACTTCAATGGAATAGTTGGTAAAAGGACTTAGCTTGATAAGGAAAGTTGAATACAAAGACAAATCTGTTTGGTTTTCTTGCTGCACAGTGTTACTCTGGACTTCAATATACTGGACAGTGTACTTCATTATTGGACCGTTTATAAGTCTACAGGGAGTGAGGGGGCCCCATGTAACAAAGATGGTGGTAGAGTTCAGAGCTGTGGCTGATACATTGCTAGGAGCTATAGCCGCTCTAAGAAAAGGAAAGGGAAATGGAGTGAAAGTTGATGAGCTGGGCACCTAACCTCTCTGGTGTGTTGTAAACATGATTTGTTCACTCTTTAAAACCATTCTCCACCTCAATGCTACCACAGTGACTGAGTATGTGGTGTATGCTCTAACGAGGAGGTGTCATTTGATCCTACATCTTCCCCCACAGTAATACTGGCATTGGAAACATCAACTACTGTCACACTAGCAAAATGAGAATCATCTCTGCACAGTCCCTCCTGATCATCTGCACTGAATGAGACTGTGTAGTTGTTTGTTTCTCCTACATTTTCCCATGATAATTTGACAAAGGTAGCCTCTACCACCACCATAATTTTTGGGAATGCTACATGAAAATAAAGTAATGTCAGTGGGAATTATATAACTTTAACTTACATGCTGTCATATTCTTCCAAACAAATCTTCCTGGTAAGTATTCTGAAAGAGCCAGCACTAAAACCAAATATACCGTTTTATTAGTGTTGATATCAAAACTAGTGACATTTGCAGGTAGCTTTTCACTGCCTTCAGTGTCTACTCCAGCATACAAAACCTCATATCCAGTCACATTGGCACCTCCTGGTGGCTGACTCCACTTCACTCTCACGACAGTGGCAGAGTACTTCCTCTCTACTTGATCAATACTTGGTTTGTTGGCAGCTGAAGAAAGCAGAACATTTAGATCTACTATTGGTGGTGCAAACATCACCTCTTATCACTGTACTGTCAGTTGCAGAAGATACTCCATTAGATGCAGTACAGTTGTAAGTGTCTCCATCATCTGCACCTTCTAGTGTCCCAGTGACACCAGAGTAGCTATCATTACCCATCCATCTCTGAGTGCCAACTGCCTGTATATTACTGAGAGGAGAGACCACTCCATGTGGTCCAGTGACAGACATATTCAGAACTCTACCACCAGTGGAATACAGCGGACTCTGAATTGATCTGCAGTCACCACCTCAATGACTGTCTCCACTGAGATAACTGTATTGAGACAGAAACATGATATCATAATTATAGAATACTTCACATTATACTCACTGGGGTATAGTATTAGAAGAGACCTGTTGTTGTTGCTATCTCCGGGAAAATGACATGTGAAATTCCCCTCCACAGCAGTCTTCGACACTCGCTTCAATCTCACTAGTCGATAGAAAACGCCGCTTACATTAACAGCAGTATTCTCTGTTCCTGGTCCAGCCTCGATCATTGTCTCCATCAATTCTCTTTCCATAGGCAGTGGTAGTTTTCAAAGTCAGTGGTATTCTCAAAGTCAGCTCTAGATACCAGTCACCTATGTTAATTCACGGAGTATTGTAACATCTTTAGTTGCATGACAGAAGAGAGCATCCTCATCACTAGTACTAGTCAGTCCATTGTGGAGACTGATATCAGTGATCAGAAGACGTCCACTGCCATCAGTTGGGATGGAGTCTCCTCTGAGAAGAAACTCCACACCTGATTGTGAGGAAAACTGACATTTGGCAGAAGCGTATACCTTTCTGCGGGACCTGACCTTTCGCACTCGGCGCGAGTCCCGTTAGCACCACAGCAGAGACACAGCCAGGATCGCCATCAATGAACTAGGGACCATTCTGCTGGAGTGCCGCAACAGTAATTGCGCATGAGCAAAAGAGTCAAGTCGCGCATGCGTTAGTTGCGTATGCTTGATACGTCCTACGTTTCCATGGGTGTACTATGTCAGATTCCAAACCTGAGCTGTCTATGCAATCACTTGCTAACAGCTCCACAGTTTCTACAAAAAGTAATAATGGTGTTTTCGGGATGTACTCTGTAAAACTGACAAATAATTATGCAGTGGTAATAAAACTGTGTTTGATAATATAATACTTAATATAAGTGATAATTGTTATCATGAGCACATACATAAGGATCATAGGACTAGCTATAACAGTCCTAGGAAGTGAAGTCTGTTCAGGAGGTGACTGTAGTTGTATCTGAGGAGATTGAGAGTCCGTAGTCCCACCACTAGTCCTGGCTCCAGACCACACCCACTGCCAGGCACTAGACCCTCCACTTCCTCTGATATCTGAGTTGGGGTCACTGACTCACACTCTGGGCCAGTGGCCAGCTCTAACAGTGCAGGACAACTCGTCATCTCCATTGACTCCTGTGTAATGGTGACATGATGTAGCTAATATAGCTATTCTATGTCCAGTGGTAGCTGAAGTATTAGTAACTAGCTATAATGAATTGCAAAAGTGCAGTCTTAAATTTTAGCAATTGAATGAAAATTTCACACGCTTTTTGGATTCTGAAAACTAAGTAGGCTCAGTTCACTTGCCAAATGCCTATAGACATTGCTAGCTGGTGTCTTACAAGAGAGAGTCTTGTGTGTGGGAGAACTGAGCTGCTAAGTCTCTCCACCACCAGTTGAAGATTGGACAAAGACTGGGAGCTGTGGAGGGCCGACAGACTGTCATTCATGGAGGATGTGAGCATCTCCACTCTCTCCAGGAGCCCAAGTAGCTGGCCACACTCAGAGAGTGGCATCAGAACCAGCTGTACCTGTGTAATACAACAGTGCATGCCACGTAAGGCAAATGGATGAAAGTGCGTGCAACTTAGATGCAAATTTTGGAAAGTGCATAAAGTGCAGTGAGTAAAGTGCATGGAACATAAGACAAAGGCATAATAAGTATACACACCCCTAATGAGGACACCTCTCTAACTTTTTTATCACACAAAAAACAACTCTTGTACACATTTTAACCCTGGATATCTCACTAATAACGATACTTTTATCTGTCCATATCCAGATTAACTATTACAGGGTTATCCTGACATGTAAACTCACACAGTAGAAGGAGGTGGAAGGGATGAGCTGGTCTCCAATGCTCTCCAGTAGATTCCCCATTTCAACAGTCTCGGCCTGGACGGCAGTGCTGACACAGACATCACAGGGGGAGACGTAGTCAGTCTCGAGGAGTCCAGTCAGGTCCTCTACTCCAGTCCTCAGTCGGTGGAGCTCACAACTGGCTCTACAGAGTCCACAGTTCTCACTGCAGAACTCACTGAGACACTCCGTCTCACTAGAACTCTGGGGAACATAGCTCTCCACTTCTGTTGCATTTCCAACCTGAAAACGTAGAATGTTTATACACGCTTGCAAAATTCTGTCCTGCCGAAATATTCTTGTGTTTCCTAACCAAGTTCAAACTCTGGACAGATAGTTAGGTTAAGGGAACTCACATGGGCTACAATTGTAGGGATTGTGCTGTTCACCACTTGCATTAGAGTGTATGCAGGCTCGGTCGATGTCAGATTGGCAAATACATCTTCTCTGACGGCATATTCCACCAGTGCCTCCAGTTTTTCCCAGCAACATTTGTATGTTTTCATGTGTGAGTGTCCCACATGAGAACCCCTGGAATTATTATGCAAAGAATAATACTTTGCTGTACGGTGGAATACTAGCAGTTTAACTTGCCTGAAAGTCATGCTCAATCTCCACATGACTCAGAGCTTCCTGTAAGTTCTGGACGGCGCAGGCGATGCCCAGCGTCGGCTCATCGCGTCTTTGTCTTTCATGTTGGGTGCGCATTGCGCACCGGCGCTGGTAGCGTTGGAGCGAAGAAAAACTGCGAGCAATAAAAGGGCGAAGCTGAAAATCTTCATGATGCAGAGACTGATATTTATTCCGGCTGTAAGATACTGTTTGTTTTGCACACCTTTTTTCGTGGCTTAGTCATGTTCGTCGCCCGCCTTTTATAGCTCATGCTAGTTGCATGCAGTGTTGATATGGTAATGCCAATTATTCATCGCCAGAGAGCACCGAACAGCCTTTCCCTAAAGTCCTTGGTTTTAGGATTACCTACTCGACCTCAGAGCCTTTCCCCCGCGGTAAACGAAAGTAGTCATCGCTGATGTAACCAGAATAGTAAACCGTCGAGTGTACTTCACATTCAGTCTATAACAAAAATGCAGCGTTTACACCTCAACGCTGGGATCCCAAGTTCCAATTGGCAAAGTCTGAACAATAATTCACACCACACGGTCATCTCAGAAAAATGCCGGGAAAGACTAGTTATTGTATCGCGCCTTATAAAAGGCTGTTGTTTTAGTTCAGAAAACCGACACCTCTGGCCATAGCCTACCTACATCACTTAGCAGCGATATATACAGTATTGCTATAGCTTATAACCTTCTGACGCACACTATACGGACTATGGTCCAGTTTCCAACACGCACTGAGAGACAAACAAAGCCGAACACTTCCCAAGCCAAGTGTGTTAGAAACGGCACACGCAAACGATATAGGGCTCAGCTATAAGCAGTATATACTTACAGAAGGCCCCTGATCTTCTCCTCCTGCACAACCTACGTAGCTCGCCCGCTGTGGGGTTAACTAGACGACGCATCGTACGTAGATATGAATATGGTCAGCGGCTATGAATCTAAACTCACGGTTGATAAGCGCATGTTGAGGTTTGTGGCCCGTAACACACAAGAAAATTCCGTCCGACAACTGTTCTATCCTTGGTTTCAGCACTCTTCTTCAGGCCTTCGCACAAATCGTACCAAACGTGATCAACGGATCACCAGGTTATACGTAGCTATTAACTGACGTAGCTATCAGGAAGCATGACATTATAAGGCATCATTATAGATAACATTGGGAAATTACATTGAAGCCGTAAGAATGTCGATTACAACACCGCCCAAAAAAGCGTAAGGCAAGAGGCAGTTGATAGTTTGCTCAGGTATAAAAGAGGCTTGTCAAAATGTCACACCAGAACGAGATCCAAACTAGCACCGCAAAAAAGTGCAATTATCTCTGAAAACCCAGCAACAGCCGACACACTAGCAACGACTATGCAGATCTCAACTAAGACAGTCGTGTTTTTGGCAGCAACCCTCGGATGCATCACGTGGGCGGTCGAAGCGGCGCCACTCATGAATTCTACTACCGACGCATCCACAAGCGCTGGAAACGAGAGCTCCGCAAGCAGTAGCAACCTGCAATTTGAGTTCCGTTACAACTGCAGCAGCCTTGAGGTCCCGACCAAGAACGAGAGCAATAGCACATACTTCGACTTTGCCATTGGGCTTTTTGTACTGAAGGAATACCTGAAAGGCGTTCGGGTGAGCTACTTACCTGCATCAGCTGTTCCATGGTCCTCCCACAATGAATACAACTAACACTGAAATGGTTGTGAATAGCTAATGATATGCATCTCTCTCCCTCCCACCACAGTCCAATCTCAACACTACCATAGCAATGGAGGACGACGAATCCTTCATCCCTTGCTACCCAGCTCCAGTGGACACTAGGACACTCAAGGTGCTGACATCTCTCGGGAACACAGCTACCAAGGCACGGCACATCGCTGCCTGGCATGGTGTCCTCGCTGCATATGCTGAGTACGCCAAGGGCCTTATCGAGGACGAAACGAATCTGCCTCCCCACCTGGCAAAGAAACTCAACACTGTCTTTGAGATGCTCCAGTCCGTGCTTCAGCTCTTCACAGATGTGGTAAGTTTCAATATAGTACACCCCAAATGAGCTTTTGCATCCAGCTATATATAAAATATACAACAGTCGACTACATCTATTATTAACCTGGTCTTTCTATCCTCACAGATTGGGCCACTAAGCTGCACAAATGACTTTGACATTCGCCACTACGAGTACACTGACCACTGCACAGGGTTCGATACCCTAAAGTTGACTGCCAACATGGTCACTCACCTCCAAACTGCAGTTTCTGACATCCAAGAGGTGCAAAGGTACTGGTACGTGGCCTCTTCAATCCGCAGGTACCTCCAATCTTCCCTGGTGAAGGAACTACAACCGACGTGGCTATCTCGCTATACAACAAGCTGCTAGAACATTTCCCACTTCTTAGGAACCTATTCTCATTCCAGAATATACATGTCAGAGTATTATAGTAACTTCAGGTCATTTATCATTTTTTAGTTTTCTTCGTTGTATTTTTGAGTCTGTCCAGAGAAAAAAGAGTTCTCTATAATAGAATTTTATAGCCACCATTCATATTCTTATATCATATATCACATAGCCAATCTATGTTATGGATCATAGTGAAATTGAAATTTGACAATGAAATATACAACAAGCAAGAGGAAATAGAGATGGTTTTAGCAGACGATCTAATCAACTAAAGTGTATATGGTTTTCATTGAAGTCCCTTAGCAAGCTGAAAAAGATGTTTTATGCAATAACATTCAGCTATAAGTGTAATCGGTGCTTAAAACTGCAATGTTTACCTCAGAAAAGCATCGACATCCATGTTCTTAGGTCTTTTGTCCAGGGAATTTTTGTCCTCGAGAATTTTCAGAACGTGAGCCTTGATGTCAAAGTCTTTACCAACCTCCTATATACCCAGTGGGAAGCAGGACACATTAAATTTAGTTAAACTGCTATAGAGATTTGATATAGCAATGAAATTAAATATCACCGGAAAGAACACCAATGTTAAAGTGAGCAATAAAGTGAATTAAGACCATGAGTGTGGCAAACAGTAAGAGAGACTTGCCATAGAGTTGAGGGAAGCATAAATGCGGTAGTTTTTCTCAAGAAGTTCAAGCACTCCCTTTGTCCTGTAGATCAACATAGACATTCAAGGGCACGCACAGTTATAAAAATAGCATTCTATTACGGGTAACAAAACAAAAAAGCGAGATGCCAGCAACAAGTATGACTAAACTTCCACATACTGTTGATATGGCACTAAGGTTCAGGTTTCGCTGTATGAATGTATCTATAACACTCAACAGACGTGAAGATGATAAAATACACATTACATCGCTGAGATGTCTTTACTGCTGAACTAGCACAGTATAATTGGTATTCCTACTGGTATATATCACATTATCGCTCCCATAAAATTAACCTGTTCCCTTATAGCGCACTCTGTACTGAACTATATATATATACCAATAAAATTGTTCCTCTATTACCTTGATTTAGTAAACCCCGATTAATTTAAATAATCCACTAACATCAAAGGCAGGTTTTGCACGGTAGAGTTGAGATCTAGCTCTGCATGTGTATTTTAACGAGCTATGACAGAAATGAAGTAATATTGAATGCAAGGGCAGTAAAAGCACTGTGTGATGCCAAATGTAGATATGCTGCCGGCTGCTAAAATGCACATACGTACTTCCTCGTGGTGGTTAAAGCTTTATTACTGCACTTGTGAGAGGATTCACACAACTTCCCCCAACACAACCCACTGAAGACAATAGCAGTATAGGTAGCAGAGAGCAGGTGACACATGCAGTAAGTATTAGAAGTATCACAGCCATGAAGTATGAGAGCAACTGAGGTGGATAACAGCACGAAGAAAGTAAAAAATTCCGAGTTTATGCATAGTGATTGATTGGATTGACAATGCCGTTTCTCACCTTCACACAAGGTTAGCTGTGTCAGTTGGACACAATACTTGAGGTAGTCTAACTTGCAAGGCCACAAAGCACACAATCAGAGATGGAGACGAAGTAGTACTTGTTACGACATTAGCAAGTTGTTTTGATGGAAATCCACTATTAAATGAACACCCTACATTTTACTAAGAAACAACGTGCCCGATACCCCGGTACACAGAGAGATATGTGCATTCGAATCCCACCTAGGCCAGCTCTTAATTTTTCCTTAGAAAAAAAGAGTTGTCGTCCTGGGAGTAGTTGACTTGTTTGCTTTGCCTTTGCCTTTCTACCTCATCATTACATGCAGACACACACACACAAAGCTTAAGTCCCACTGCACGGGGATTATAAACTTAATGTTCCGCACAAAGGGCTTAGCTCGACATAAGGGACTCCAGTTGAAACCCTTTATCACATGATCAATGTAATCAGCGTTTCAATATCGAACTAATAATACTAGAAAAGCAAATGCAATCGCATTCCACAGGGAGCAGTCATGGTTGATGTGAGCAAAGAAACGTAGGTGCTACTCATATTTTTGACTTTTTCCTCCCTTCCCGTTTCCTAGGTACACACAGCTGGTGTGGCTGAGTGATCAGGTGACAGCCGGTGGGACGTAAGAAGAGGGGAACGAGATGAAAGGGGAAAGAGGGGGAAACTGATTACTGTCATGCAAAAGATTTTAGGACTTGCATTTTTATCCAACTCTTCACTGGCTGGGCATCTCATACTCACCTGCTCTTTATAGCATTCATTGGGTTCTGTGTATATACGACTGCTATATAATTTGTGTTACTACAACGTGTAGTTATAAGATCCCCCAGCCAGCCAACTGACCCACTGTATGCAAAGCAGCTATACAATTATTTTGTAGACAGAGTGAGTGAGTATGCACCTGAATATGGCTGACAGAGTCTTGTTCTTTCGCACAAAACACATTCTCAGGAGTCCGTCCCATTCCTGCATAACACACGCACACCGTGGTACATAGCTACGTACATGGTATTTGTTGTAAGAGCGCCATGGCCTCCATAATATATTAATACACCATCTTTCTCCCCTGCACATGGGTACTGAGCAAAATTGGTATTGGCTTTGCACCACCATTATTAGAGAGTATGGTGGAGTATGGTATGGTATAATAATATTGATACAATCACATTAAAGAGAACAGTATAAATAATATTATGATGTTCCCAACATCCCTTAGAAAATTCTTCTGCTTTCCCCTACCCACAGTTTATAAGTGGAAACCACACAAAACCACACAAACTTCCACCCTAGTGTAACTGAAAGATGCCAGAAACCACAATTACGGTCTGTAAGCAAGCCAATAAAGAAAGTATCATTTCCATTTCCATACATGAAACCAGGAAGTTTGCTCAAGGGGAATTAACCAACTATCAGTGTATAAACGATCATGGCGCCCAATACACTGTGACCAGTGAATGTGTTAACAGAAACAGGAGGTCCATCCACATCTGCACCCAGTCAGATATTATATAACATGAAATCTTGGGGAAACCCAGGAGGAATTACATTCATAGCTCACAGCTGGAATGTCATAACTAGGGTTTTAAATTAACACGGTTGCATGCTTTCTATGTGAATCATGTAACTGCGTTGTACGTAAGCGATCTTTGTGAACAAAAACTAAAACCTGTAAGGTCGCGCTACCACTAGCTGTAAATGTTCAGCCTTCATCTAGTAGTAGAATATGAGGGAACCCCCCAATTTGACCCATGCATGACTTTAATGACCAAACCTGTCACTGAAATTGATTGCATCACTAGCAATTAAGACCACCGCTGTCTTCTTGCTCGCTCATTATGGAAACTAGATTTGATTCATCACCTGTAACTAAATATTACAGGTACTTAGAAAGAGAAAGCACTCCTTTTGAGCTGCAAAGTAAGTCTCCCCTTTATACCCTAACAGTATATGCAACTGCAACCCACCCCACAACACCAGTGTTTACACTTCACAATATTTTGGCTGTCACATTTAAAGATTATCAGTGTAGCACAGGTGTTACTAAGGTCGTAGGTTAAAAACGAGTTGAACTTTCACAACTGTTGACTAGGTCCAGACTGTGTGTGCTAGGTTCTAATACCAACATGTCCACTGAGCATATTTCATGATTCAATTATAGACTTCAGGTCAGGCTTTTTCCAGCGAGAGTTCCAAGGGCACGTTTGGTATGGGGAAGCTATGCCATGACATCCACACACACCCATGTAGGAAACATGGACATTATGGACTCTAAACAGTGAACCGGTGTCTCCACAAGGAAACATTTTTCATCCCAACAGATCAGGGGTGGCGTGATGTCATATGATGTAGTGGACATGTGATTCTCCTCCATTCAACAAGAGTTGGTTCAGAACCCGGTGGTGAGTGGGCATCTGCAAACAAAGCCCTCCCAACACATGCACCCTTTGACCCACTGTGCAGACTTCCTGCATGGGTGGTGCCTCTCACACAATTTGCACCGCTCCCCAACTACCTCCAACAGCTGATGCAGTATAGGTGCAGGCTAGTGGTATTCTCGACCAAACAGAGAGAGGTCTCATACAAAACAGTTTAACTACAGAAATATCTTTTGACAGGGAATATAAGATGCACCAATTAAACATTTCTTGGTTTGGTGTTAAACTTTACTCTCTGTTCTTTTTTACTTATGTGATTTATATGCCGGATATATTGGATTATTAACAAACAAGAAACAAGGAAACAAAAAACAGGACGTGGCAGTGGAGGAATTGAACTTGAAGCTTAATACTTGAAGTCATGAACTAAAGCATATTCACGATGCATGAAGCAACTTATAGCCCACAGTTATACTAGGTAGCAAGCCATGCAAAGATCGTCAACAAATACTCTTGCTAATGATATTCACGATCATGATTGTTGTCGGAATGCCCCTTTTACGGCAGAAGGAAACCTTGACGTGTCCTACAACCAGGGGTGATTACATGTTGAAAACAACCGTTTCCTCCTCACGGAGGGCAATAATTCAATTTGATGCAACACGGCATTGCATCAGGATGGTGGCACTCTCAATAGATTATTAAAATCCAAAACCAAGGTAAACACTAGAAGTAAACAAAGGACAAACGTTTGGGTAATGTTGCAACACATACGGAGGAGCCAGGCAGTGAAACAGTGATGTCATTGGAAGAGACAAACAAGGGCACATCTCTGTGGTTCACCATCTTAGTGGCAACTGCTAGAAGCCCATAGCTATCAGGAAACCCCAGTTGCACAGTACATAGCTATTCCGTCTAACCAACTGCTATATAGCTACATATACTATTCATAACGGTATGCAGCACATACCATACAGGTAAACATCTATGACATAATAAATACATAGATACAAGCACTGGCAGATAAACTAACACCACATGCACCAACGAAACCACTCAATATATACAGGAACATGAACCAAGATCCAGGTCCAGGGAACTGGCAAAGTCACCAAATTCCTTATGCGACAAAGCATATATCTGAGAGAGGTAGTGCCCCATTACATCATGGCCTGGAAAAGCAATAAAAACGTGCTAATAGGAGGGAGAAGAGAGAACATGGTCATATATCCTGTTGACAGTGCCCCAGGAACGGGAGAGGACCTGCTAAACTGGCACCAACTGAAGAAGAAAGGTAGCAGGAAAAATGGTGTTCTTGGTAGTCGTGGAGATGACGAAACACGTCATCTTCTCAAGAACCTACTGGAGGTCTTCAGAGAGTTGTAATGATGAGAGGCGACAATTCTTAACCCATATAAAGTGTCGGAACATTCCCACTCATACGGTCCGTGTGATAGGGCTAAACCTGTGTTGAACTTACGGTAGAGACTCTACTATAATGGACAAGACTCGTTCACCATCTTAGTGGCAACTGCTAGAAGCCCATAGCTATCAGGAAACCCCAGTTGCACAGTACATAGCTATTCCGTTTAACAACTGCTATATAGCTACATATACTATTCATAACGGTATGCAGCACATACCATACAGGTAAACATCTATGACATAATAAATACATAGATACAAGCACTGGCAGATAAACTAACACCACATGCACCAACGAAACCACTCAATATATACAGGAACATGAACCATGATCCAGGTCCAGGGAACTGGCAAAGTCACCAAATTCCTTATGCGACAAAGCATATATCTGAGAGAGGTAGTGCCCCATTACATCATGGCCTGGAAAAGCAATAAAAACGTGCTAATAGGAGGGAGAAGAGAGAACATGGTCACATATCCTGTTGCCAGTGCCCCAGGAACGGGAGAGGACCTGCTAAACTGGCACCAACTGAAGAGGAAAAGTAGCAGGAAAAATGGTGTTCTTGGTAGTCGTGGAGATGACGAAACACGTCATCTTCTCAAGAACCTACTGGAGGTCTTCAGAGAGTTGTAATGATGAGAGGCGACAATTCTTAACCCATATAAAGTGTCGGAACATTCCCACTCATACGGTCCGTGTGATAGGGCTAAACCTGTGTTGAACTTACGGTAGAGACTCTACTATAATGGACAAGACTCGGAAACCACTATACACACTGTCGATGACATTGTAGGACTGGGGCGCAGTGCCCGATGTTGCCAACTTAAACAGGGAAATCCCGAGGAATGTCAACTAGTCTACCATCACATTAATTGGGCGAGTGGAGCGAGCCCACCTTGTCGTGTCTTCGGCTCGAATTTTCTATCTATATAATTATATAATTATACGAGGCACTGTACGTCGTCTTAGTGCGCATGCGTCAATATTATGCACTTCTTATTATACGAGATACTGTGCGGAATTTTTTCTCCATCTCTTACAACGATACTGCTTCTGTTCCAAGAGGCAGACAGACGGCAGAGATGCTCGTCTATTCAGCGACGATTAAGAGATGGAGAGGGGGAGCGGGCACATTACCTTTCCGTTGCTACTTTCTTCTGGTCTAGTTTCACTAGCTATGTATGCGCAAGCTGCCTTACTCAACCTAATATGACAACACCATAATAACTTCTGTTATTTGCTGAAACATTTTACCTGTAGGTACGTAGCTATAATATTATCGCTAGTAATGATGATGGTTGTTAGTTCTCGCTCCGCTTGCCCAAAGAATGCCCAATCATTTCCTCTAGTACCATAATTGGGGGAACCTTTCTGGAGAAAAACTTTCAAGAAACGCATGTCCTACCGATGGTCCCTTCCCACAATATAAGCAGAGAAAACGTTTGCAGTTGGCTCTACAACAGCAAAACACCCATTCTTCCTCAAGTTACGATACAACTCAGTTACGTATACTTACACCCCCAACCACAGAAGCCTACTGTAGTGCGTTCCCTTATACCACTGTCACCCACACAGATCACTGGGTGTGTGTGATATCACACTGTGGTGACACCAAGATAAGGAAATGTTGTACTGGACCAATTACCTAGAGATTGTTTAGGTCCCAGAATGTACAAAATGTTGATGCAAATACACCTGCCACCTCCACAACTGCAAACACACACGCCCCCAGATACACGGTCAATTGTGAACACACACACGCAGGTCCCAGCTGTCTGGTCTAATAAGGCAACAGAGGAAATGGACCACATGATTACTGACCACGCCAAGGATGGGTAAATCCAAGAATGCTAATTACTCTTCAGCTAGATTTTTCAGCGGCAAAACTACTATAAACTACTACATGAAGTGGACGCTGCTGCGGTCTCATGGTCCAATTACAGAGTTATTTCAAGAATCCACAACGTTTGTATGCACAACCATCCAGTATTCCACCGTAATACATCGGTGTATGTGTAATAATATATGCCTGTTGCACCATGGGTCTCACATAGCCAACTGTGATTTAGCATATACACAAGTATGACCAGCATAAAGATATGTGCTGCCCTGTCATTGTTGTAAACAAACAACTCACAGTGAATGCCGAACGAGTGTGAACACAC